GAAGCTCCTCTTCGAAAGCGCTCCCAAGGACTACTTGGATTTTTTTTTAAGTTATAGTGTTTGTGTGACACCACCCCTAACTTTGTCACTTCTCCAGGGAAAAATAGTAGATAAGTTTTTCTTTATGTGTACTATCCTTTTCTCGCTGTTCAGGACGTGCTGGATGAGATCCTCAACCATGTTGGAACTCTTGGATGGGAGAATTGTGCTTGGACTGAGGAGAATTTGGCTTCAAAACGTCTCTTCCCAGGACACGTTTTCCCAGCCAAGAACAGGAAGTGGCAACAGAGATTGAGAGTCAGCGACAGGTCCTTGAGAATTATGGTTCTCAGGATTCATTGGGAGCAGGAGCACCAGTCTTGTGAGAAGCGCAGCCAGAAGAAGCCGGATGACAGAGCTTGTGAGCTACTGGCTGAAAAAGCAGCTTGCCTCGTTTCCTTAGCAGATGAGTTTTGCTCTGAGCATCCCATCACCATGGAGACAGTCCAGAAGAAGATACTGGATGAGTGGTCCTCTGGATGCAAGCGCATTGACATGGAGCTGGCCGCGCAGTTACTGGAGAAGTCCGAATCCTTTGCCATTGCGACCCACATGCCTTGTTTCAAGGCTTTGCTGGAGGAATCTCTTTTTCGTGCGCCGGTGTCTTCTTCCCAAGAGGCAGGGGCTCTTTTCTTGACGTGGTAGTCGTTGTTTGATGAGTAGCATAACCCATAATAATGACGAAAACAATGATAAGATAATAATTTCAAGCTTTATTCCCTCCCTCAAAGTTTTTGGTCTACTAGTCGGTGTTGCAATGAAGCTGCCTTGATGATGGCCTCTGCACCAAAACACCTTTTCTGTTGAATCTTCTCCCCAATCATTAGGATAATTGTGAGTTTGTTTTGTTCCACAATGCTGGCAGGTGGAAATGCGAGACAAGCTGAAGAGAGATGAGTTCGACCATGTTGTGAAGAAAATGGACTATGACATCAAGGTCTTCGAAATTTGGCAATCGAAGGTCGCATCAGTGGCAATGGCTCGCCAGCATGCGAAGCAGGAACATGTCGTTTCTGAACACAGGAAAATCGTGGAATCAGTGGAAGCCTATCTTGATGGTTGTGTTCGCTTCCTGTGCTGGGAAGGAGTCAACAAGGGAAGTGACAGCATCGTTCCACAGGTCCTCTCATTTCGCATGGAAATTGTGAGAAAGCTACGCAACCAAAACACAGCTGGTGCAGCTGCAGATGTTCCTACCTTGGTCCTCATGAATTGGACCGCACCCTGTCTGTTTCCAGCTGGACGGCAGAATGATCACATCAACTGCCTTGCGTGGGCGTTGCACGACAATACCAACTCGGCTGCAATCATTTTCGCACCTACCTTTTCGTACCAGAAAGGAAAAACATTCCTGGAGGAAAATGCGTGCATGCAGCTGCTGGCACAAGGAGGGCACAACTTGGACCATCAGTTCAGCGTCTTATTTTCTGACAGATGCGATCAGAGAGACAGCCGACCTCTGCTTTACCCTGCTCGTTGGGCCTTCCCAGGTCATGTGGTTGACCTTGGAAAGACAAATGCCTTCTTTCAGTCGGAGCTTCGCAAGGCTGGGCGAACTGATCCTTGCAAGCAAATGGCCGCCAAGGACTTGAAGGAAATGGAAGACATGGCTGATGACAGCCTCCCAAGCACAACTTCAAGCAATCACATCTCTGGAGCAGCCAAGCATTGTCAGTTTGGCCGTCCTGCTGCAGAAGAGGTCTTTCGCAAGGCCTTCAACCAAGTTGACCTGGAGAAATTTCCAGCTGTGCTGATCGTGGACCTCTTCCCCCGAGTTGGTGATTTTGCAGGTGCTTTTTGCCGCCTCCGGACCCAATTGAATGCTGGGACCAGCTTGTTCTACATTGGTGTCGGAGAGAAGGCCAAAGAATTGGAATGGCTTCGCGCGACTTTGCTCGAAGAGTTGGTGGAGAAAGTGAAGCTGGAAGGCTTTCAAATTCCTGGTGCTCAGCCATTTCAGAAAGAAGTCAACCCAGACCTCCTGGATGCACTTCCCGCAATTCCAATTACCAATCTTCTTGTTGTGAAAGGTGAAGGTGAAGATCGAAGTCTGGTGCTGCCAAAGCACTTGATGCTGAAGTGGCGTTCTGATGAAGATTTCGGCGATGAATTTTCCAAGTGGCTTGACGCATTTTTGGAAAAGTATTCAGTGAGTGAAGATGCAGACAATTCTTCACCCAACAACAAGAGACAAAACAGTGAAGAAAAAACATCGGAGGCTGAACCGAGCCCAAAAAGGTGTCGAGTGGAGGAAGTGCCTGCAGAATGCTTGCTTCCTTGTGACAAAATTGCAGAGACGCTTCTATTTGAGACGAAGCTTGGAGGAAAAGATACCATTGGATTCCAGATCCGCACCAACCACCAGCTCTATTTGGTCAACCAGACCTCCCATGAGCTCAGTCTCAAAGCAATGTCGCCTTTGGTTGGATTTGGCAGGGGATCGTTCAAGTTGTTCAAGGAAGGTGACACACTACCTGAGAAAGCTTTGCTTTTTCACATTGCTTCCTCAGATGCCTTGGTTTGCCTCAACGGTGCTGTGCAGACAATTTCAGAAGTGCTATTCAACCAAAGAAAAATCAAGCCTGAGGCTACTGTCTGCTACCACAAGGCTACACCTTCTGGGCAAAAAACTGATGGCCAGACATTGTTTGACTTCAAGTTGACCCACAAAATTTGCTTTGTGCCGCCGACGAAACGAGATGGAGCAGATGAAGGAGCAGAAAAACCCGGCAAAGAAGAGACTATATCCTTCACCAACATCGCCTCACGCGAAACAGCTGGTACTTTTTGTGATTTGCAATGCGCAAGTCTGATTTGGCATGTGCGCTGGACAGTCAAGGGGCTGCAGCCGCTGAAGCCCATGATCCATTTAACCAAAAAGCTTTGCCTTGCTGCAGGTCAGTGCTGCAAACTCAATAAGCAATGACATTGCAGTTTGGACCACAGGTAGCATTGAAAATGCCTACGATTTTGATATGCAGATGGCTGCCCCAAATAGGTGACACTCGAAAACATTTTGTCCACACAACCTTGCTATCAATTTTTGCTTCTCGAAAGAAAGCACCATCTGACAGGACATTGCGTTGATGTCCCAATCTTGGGTCTTTTGCTTATCGACATAGTCGACATAGTGCACATCGTGGCCGACAAAAGGAACCAGCTTGAGAGTCATTCTTGCATCATTGTCAAGAGATTTTCAGACATGTGCTTTTATATGTATTGTTTCGCTTCAGTACTCACTCGACAGATGCGCTGGCTGTTGACAATCATGTGGAAGTTTCATAGTAACAGTAATAATAATAATAGCGCTCTTAGCGCTGACCACTTTATAATAGTAATAGCGCTCTTAGCGCTGACCACTTTATGCCAATGGGGTATGTCTGATCGTTGCTTTCTCATATTCAGCCACGAGCGACTGCAAGCCCAAACTTATTGTTATGTTTGGACTTTTGGATTTTATCGACAGAGAGTTTAAATCTCCAATGACAAAACCAGTTTTCTGACATTCATCTGGCATCTCCTTCTCTGGCATTTAGTCTACAATCAATTCAATCTGACATATATTCTGCCATGATACCAGACTGAGACTGTAATACAAAAAGATTCTGAAGTGGTGCCAGTGCTTGGCACAAAACAAACACCTACCTCAAAAAAGTTAACACCTACTTGAAGCCAAAAGTCCTTATTTGCGGAAACAATCAATGTGGTCCAACAGAAATTCCCATTCTTGAGGAGAATGATGACTGGCCCGTGGCAACTGGCAACTACTTGGGAAAGCTTACACCCATCTCAAATGCATCCTCCAATCCCGAAACCTCTCTTGGAGGCAATGGTGAGCATTTCAATTTCTTGGAAGTGGCACCGCCTAGCTCTGCTGCTTTTGTTGGGCTTTTACGCTTTACTGCGGCCTGCCGAACTTTTCTTCTTGAAGGTCAAGCACTTTGTACTGAGCGATCTGACAGGTCTAGACAGTGTAGTTCTCATCCAGCTGCTTCAAACAAAGACCAGAACGCGGGGAGCTCGTTTTCAAAGTGTCCGGCTCGAAGAGCCGCGCGTGATCGTTTTCTTGCAGAAGTGTTTAAGTGTCATGACTCAGAACGAACTTCTTTGGCCGCTCTCGCCAGCCCTGTTTAGAACAAGATTTGACCAAGTGCTCACCAGAGCCTGCGGAATTTCCAAATTAGTATACCCTTCATCACTTCGACCAGGAGGGGCAACTTTTCTTTTCCAATTGTGGAAAGAAGATATCCAAAAACTCCAATGGAGGGGGCGTTGGTTACATATGAAAACCATGCTTCATTACATCCAAGAGTTAGGGGCTGTAAATATTTTTGACAAGTTGGAGCCTGCACAGAAGTCACGGGTGCTCCTGCTTGCTCAACTTCTCCCCGAAGCTCTTGCCAATTGTGTTGTAGTGGTGGACACCTTTTCTCTTGTTGCAGCTTTCGCGAATGCTGGTAGCTAGCTCTGGGTCTTCCCGGCCCTATCCCCCCCAAAAAGTAAGGGTGGTAACTGATATCTTGTTGTGCACAGCTGTGCTCGTCAAGTCAAGTTCCATCACCTTTTGCAGCTACCAGCAGAAAAAAGGAGTTTTGCGTGGAAGAACGCATGAACATCATTTGCGTGTGTGTAATGCGAAGCTCAAGTGCAACCAGGAGGAAGGTGGAGGCAAGAATGTTAAGCGTGAAAAATATAGATATGATTTTGATAACCACTTAACCACTTAATATTCAGATGTTAGCCATCTATCTATGGTCCCCCAAGAAATCAACCAATTTATGAAGCGTTATAAAGCCCTGAAAGTGAAAGATCCTAATGGTGGTGACAGCATGGTTAAAATGGTTAAAGGAGAGACGCCAAAGAGAGGTTGGGGATTTGAGGTTTTGCGACCACCAGCCAGGTGATGATCCCTAGAATCTAAAGCTGATAGATCTGTTGCTGTTTTCCAGCGCCTTGGACAGGCTCGGCTGTCAGAGATGCTATGTGACGATTCCTTGAAGGCAAGCGCTGCTTTACAGGATTTTCTGGGTCTCCAAGCTCCGGAGCTACTTGGTAAAAACTCAGAAACGCTACTGAGACATTTCAACTGCTGATGCATTGATGGCTCCGTTCATGGTTCATTTTAATTTATATGACCCCCGGCAGTGTTTGACACGTGCAAGCCAGGCGGTTTCATGGAACATTTTGGACTCCACTTGCTTCGACAGCAGGTTTCCCCATGGTTGTTATATTTACTGGGTCATGTGTGCGCGTTTGACATGTATGATTATGGTCGCATGAGGGTAATAGATGGAGAGGTCAGATCGAATAAACTGACACATGTGTCATTAGTTGCACACTGTCAGAACGGGAAACCATATAAGTGGACAGGTACTGTTCTCAGTGATGCAGCAATGGTCTTGATCCCATACTTGATTTTGTTATCTATCACAAGTTGCCAGATAGATCCATCAAACGATCAGCAGATAGAGCATGCGACGGGTGGACCAATGGGTGCACATTTGACACATGCAACTTTGACACTACGCATGTGTTTATAGGATTTTATAGGCAACAACTTTTGCTCATGGATGAATTTTATCTATTCAATCCAGCTGGTGGGGTGCTCAGGATGCCCAGTAGCGTCCGCATCGTCAAGTTGTTGGTCCCCTGGGAAGATGATGTGAATGAAGTCGCGCCAGGCGTTTTGAACAGAGCCAGTTGGCAGGGGCTGTTTAAGCAAGGTGAAGATGTGTTTTGTCGCTTTTCAAACTCCGTGAAACAAGTTGAGTTAAATATAGTTAAGTCATGTTGAATATTGATTTTTTTTTGATTCATTTTTTGAATTTTTTTTTGAATCCTTTTTTGAATCATTTTTTGCATCCTTTTTTGAATCATTTTTTGCATCCATTTTTAAATCATTTTTTGAATCATTTTTTGAATCATTTTTTGAATCCTTTTTTGAATCATGTTTTGAATCATTTTTTGAATCTACCCCTTAGTGGGCGTGTGACATGCTTGCTTTGCGATGCATGTTTTTTTAGGCGGTTGTGAGTAAGCGCTTCAATAGTCTGTGAGTCTGTGGATTAATCCATGCAGGCTAAGCCATGGCGTGCGGGGATGGGATTTATTGATCCCTCGGCGACCCACTGATCTGTTCTTGCCTCGCCCTTGGAGGCATTGAAAGCGCTGAAGTTCATGTGGAGGTCAGCACGCATGGACGCCCGCTTGCACCCAATGTGAATCAATGATGCGAAAGCCAGGTGATAGCTGATGATAAGTGTACTGGATATATGTGAGTAGTGATAGCTATACTATAGTACACAACAATCCTCTCCATTCCATGTTATTTGTGAGGAGAATCCCACGTGCTATGTTGAGGAGTTTCAGTGTAAGCACCCGGGGGCACCTGAGGCATGGACTCGGACGCAGCTTATGCGATGCCCACGCACGTTGTGGCATCTGTGTTGTGCCTGCAGCCACCAGCAGGCAGCGATTTGGTCAGGGGAATGAGGTGGAGGTAAGAAGATGTCAGGGCCCTGGGGTCTTCCCAAAATAGACCAGTTCAAGTTTGTGCTTTTTGGGTCATTTTCTGGTTTTAAGATGTTTAAAGATGTTTTAAGCCATTTTAAACCTACTCACCACATGAAACTTCAGGCGCTCGCCGCAATTGCCGATCCACAGGAGACAGCCAACTCAGGGAGATCGTGGTGCCCGCCAACTCCCCAGCCACCTTGGTGATTGATGGGCTGCAACCAAGCAGCATGTACGAGTTCCAGGCGACTGCGGAAGGGGCGATGGAAACCATGTATGTCCCATAGGATCCATGTATGGTATATATGCTAACATTGGGGATATATTGATGGTAAATGTTACCATACATGGATCCTATGTATGTTTATTATGTATTGTTGAGGGTTTTTGTAGGGGGGATGGCTGATTCTCATCGTTTTAGTGTGTTCAAAAGCTGGTGGTTTTACCTCATCCAAAGCGCAAGCTAGGTGCGAGCCACCAACTCCTTGGGCCAATCACCGAGCGTTTGCATCCGAGTCTTGGTGCCACCTCGACCGGAGCCGAAGGCTTCGAAGGATGGGTGATTTTTGGATGGAAAGATGTGGGCAAAATGTGGGAAAATGGGCTGAGGAACGGATGGGGTGAAACAAGTTGGAGAGGCTTATAGAGGCTTGATGTACACCTTCGGAAGTTTTCTTGCTGTGAGACTGGAGTAGTTCTGCGGGTGTCTTTGGTGAGATCACTAACCACAGCAGAAGCTAGCGCTGGTGGGAGCCTTGTACCTCGTTGCCAGGACTCCAAGATGGATGATTGGGAAGGCAGGACTATGTGGTTCAAACATGTTCAAACGCCCGCTGTTAGGCAATTTTAGCGCACATGTGTATTTTCATGTTCCTTGCTCAAGCCACTTCCTTGTATATCCTTGTATGGTCAGAAACTTTCCGCGAACTTGAATTTGTTTGACTCCAGGTGCGTTGAGCTTACCAGAGACGCATTCAGCACCCTTGGCTGTGCAACCTGCAGCGCAACCAGCGCTGGAGTGTTCTTCTGCCGACCAGAGAATCAGCACTCAAGGCCCGATTGTAGAGTCGGTTGAAGTGGTGACTCTAACAGTAACTCTAGTGGTGATCGAAGAGCAGGCATCATACATATGGGGATGGGTCAAAACCCTGGTACCTAGTGAACCCCAAAATAGCTGGTAAATGGATGTTCATCCCACTAAAATATGGTATTAATAGGTATTGACCCATACCCATATCATATAATAGATAATGAGGGTTATACGTTTGTATGTCACACTTTCACCTTGGCACTGTGAACGCAGAGTTTCGCGGGAGGTGTCGACGCCAGTGCTGTTGATGCAGATGTCACTGGCAACGGGGCAGCAGAAAGTTCTGCTTCATCAATGGTGCCGCCTGCAGAGGATCAAAGTGCTTGGCTGAGCAAATCATGTCAGACATTTGTCAGACATATTCGGACACATTCAGACACCGTCAAACATTGTCAGACATCTTCAGACCATGTCAGCCTTCTTGTGGGCACAACCCCTCTTGACATAGCATTGTGATGTATTGTGATGTACTGTGATGAATGTTTTGCAAGCATTGAGGAGTGTTCGCATTGGCTCTAGGCAGATTGTGTTAAGGGGTTACCGCGTGACAATGCAATTGTACTTTATGCGTCTTCATGCTCCTTAGTCAAGCCATGTCGAGCCACTGAATTGTCGATGATTTTCTGCAAACTTGTTTGACTCAAGGTGCTTTGAGTTTGCCGGAGACGCATTTGGCACCTTTGGCTGCGGAAGTTGCACCGGCACCAGCACTGGAGACAAGCACTGTCGCAGAGCCCCGTGTGGATTCTGCTTTGGGTTCTGTAGTGGATTCTTCTGCCGACCAGAGAGTCACTGAAGGCCAGATTGTGGGCAGACTCGATACCAAAGAAGGAGCATGATGCATACACAATCATGCATAAATAATCATAAATATGCATACATTACAGTAAATGACGTTGGTTATACGTTGATTGAACGGTTTTTTTTCCGCATTATTGTTCATTCATGTTGATGCTGCAATGACTCCATAATTTGTCAGAAGACATCAGAACACCAGTCGGGCAGGTTTTGGATCACATGTCACACTTTCACCTTGGCACTGTGAACGCAGAGTTTCGCGGGAGGTGTCGACGCCAGTGCTGTTGATGCAGATGTCACTGGCAACGGGGCAGCAGAAAGTTCTGCTTCATCAATGGTGCCGCCTGCAGAGGATCAAAGTGCTTGGCTGAGCAAATCATGTCAGACATTTGTCAGACATATTCGGACACATTCAGACACCGTCAAACATTGTCAGACATCTTCAGACCATGTCAGCCTTCTTGTGGGCACAACCCCTCTTGACATAGCATTGTGATGTATTGTGATGTACTGTGTGATGAATGTTTTGCAAGCATTGAGGAGTGTTCGCATTGGCTCTAGGCAGATTGTGTTAAGGGGTTACCGCGTGACAATGCAATTGTACTTTATGCGTCTTCATGCTCCTTAGTCAAGCCATATCGAGCCACTGAATTGTCGATGATTTTCTGCAAACTTGTTTGACTCAAGGTGCTTTGAGTTTGCCGGAGACGCATTCGGCACCTTTGGCTGCGGAAGTTGCACCGGCACCAGCACTGGAGACAAGCACTGTCGCAGAGCCCCGTGTGGATTCTGCTTTGGGTTCTGTAGTGGATTCTTCTGGCGACCAGAGAGTCACTGAAGGCCAGATGGTGGGCAGACTCGATAGGTCACCAAAGAAGGAGCATGATACATACATAATCATGCAAACAAATGCATAAAAATGCATAAATGACGTTGATCATACGTTGATTGAACGGTTTTTTTTCCGCATTATTGTTCATTCATGTTGATGCTGCAATGACTCCATAATTTGTCAGAAGACATCAGAACACCAGTCGGGCAGGTTTTGGATCACATGTCACACTTTCACCTTGGCACTGTGAAAGCAGAGTTTCGCGGGAGGTGTCGACGCCAGTGCTGTTGATGCAGATGTCACTGGCAACGGGGCAGCAGAAAGTTCTGCTTCATCAATGGTGCCGCCTGCAGAGGATCAAAGTGCTTGGCTGAGCAAATCATGTCAGACATTTGTCAGACACATTCGGACACATTCGACACCGTCAAACATTGTCAGACATCTTCAGACCATGTCAGCCTTCTTGTGGGCACAACCCCTCTTGACATAGCATTGTGATGTATTGTGATGTACTGTGATGAATGTTTTGCAAGCATTGAGGAGTGTTCGCATTATCTCTAGGCGCATTTTTCTTCAAGGGGTGACCACGTGACAATGCAATTGTACTTTATGCGTCTTCATTCTCCTTAGTCAAGCCATGTCGAGCCACTGAATTGTCGATGATTTTCTGCAAACTTGTTTGACTCAAGGTGCTTTGAGTTTGCCGGAGACGCATTCGGCACCTTTGGCTGCGGAATTTGCACCGGCACCAGCACCGGAGACAAGCACTGTCGCAGAGCCCCGTGTGGATTCTGCTTTGGGTTCTGTAGTGGATTCTTCTGGCGACCAGAGAGTCACTGAAGGCCAGATGGTGGGCAGACTCGATAGGTCACCAAAGAAGGAGCATGATACATACATAATCATGCAAACAAATGCATAAAAATGCATAAATGACGTTGATCATACGTTGATTGAACGGTTTTTTTTCCGCATTATTGTTCATTCATGTTGATGCTGCAATGACTCCATAACTTGTCAGAAGACATCAGAACACCAGTCGGGCAGGTTTTGGGTCACATGTCACACTTTCACCTTGGCACTGTGAACGCAGAGTTTCGCGGGAGGTGTCGACGCCAGTGCTGTTGATGCAGATGTCACTGGCAACGGGGCAGCAGAAAGTTCTGCTTCATCAATGGTGCCGCCTGCAGAGGATCAAAGTGCTTGGCTGAGCAAATCATGTCAGACATTTGTCAGACACATTCGGACACATTCGACACCGTTAAACATTGTCAGACATCTTCAGACCATGTCAGCCTTCTTGTGGGCACAACCCCTCTTGACATAGCATTGTGATGTATTGTGATGTACTGTGTGATGAATGTTTTGCAAGCATTGAGGGGTGTTCGCATTAGCTCTAGGCAGATTGTGTTAAGGGGTCACCGCGTGACAATGCAATTGTACTTTATGCGTCTTCATTCTCCTTAGTCAAGCCATGTCGAGCCACTGAATTGTCGATGATTTTCTGCAAACTTGTTTGACTCAAGGTGCTTTGAGTTTGCCGGAGACGCATTCGGTACCTTTGGCTGCGGAAGTTGCACCGGCACCAGCACTGGAGACAAGCACTGTCGCAGAGCCCCGTGTGGATTCTGCTTTGGGTTCTGTAGTGGATTCTTCTGCCGACCAGAGAGTCACCGAAGGCCAGATGGTGGGCAGACTCGATAGGTCACCAAAGAAGGAGCATAATACATACATAATCATGCAAACAAATGCATAAAAATGCATAACTGACGTTGATTATACGTTGATTGAACGGTTTTTTTTTCGCATTATTGTTCATTCATGTTGATGCTGCAATAAAGACATGAGAACACCAGTCGGGCAGGTTTTGGGTCACATGTCACACTTTCACCTTGGCACTGTGAACGCAGAGTTTCGCGGGAGGTGTCGACGCCAGTGCTGTTGATGCAGATGTCACTGGCAACGGGGCAGCAGAAAGTTCTGCTTCATCAATGGTGCCGCCTGCAGAGGATCAAAGTGCTTGGCTGAGCAAATCATGTCAGACATGGTCAGACACATTCGGACACATTCGGACACCGTCAAACACTGTCAGACATCTTCAGACCATGTCAGCCTTCTTGTGGGCACAACCCCTCTTGACATGGCATTGTGATGTATTGTGATGTACTGTGATGAATGTTTTGCAAGCATTGAGGAGTGTTCGCATTAGCTCTAGGCAGATTGTGTTAAGGGTCACCTCGTGACAATGCAATTGTACTTTATGCGTCTTCATTCTCCTTAGTCAAGCCATGTCGAGCCACTGAATTGTCGATGATTTTCTGCAAACTTGTTTGACTCAAGGTGCGTTGAGTTTGCCGGAGACGCATTTGGCACCTTTGGCTGCGGAATTTGCACCGGCACCAGCACCGGAGACAAGCACTGTCGCAGAGCCCCGTGTGGATTCTGCTTTGGGTTCTGTAGTGGATTCTTCTGGCGACCAGAGAGTCACTGAAGGCCAGATGGTGGGCAGACTCGATACCAAAGAAGGAGCATGATGCATACATAATCATGCATAAATATGCATAAATGACCAATAACTCCATAACTCGTCAGAAGACATCAGAACACCAGTCGAGCAAGTTTGGGGTCACATGTCACACTTTCACCTTGGCACTGTGAACGCAGAGTTTCGCGGGAGGTGTCGACGCCAGTGCTGTTGATGCAGATGTCACTGGCAACGGGGCAGCAGAAAGTTCTGCTTCATCAATGGTGCCGCCTGCAGAGGATCAAAGTGCTTGGCTGAGCAACTCATGTCAATCATGGTGGGACACATTCGAACACTGTCAAACATTGTCAGACATCTTCAGACCATGTCAGCCGTCTTGTAATATTTTTTGATGAAAGGACCGCTGTCTCTGATGAATGTTTTGCGAGCATTGTGGAGTATTCGCATTATCTCTAGGCACATTTTTTTTTCAAGGGGTGACCGCGTGACAATGCAATTGTACTGAATGCTCCTTAGTCAAGCCATGTCGAGCCACTGAATTTTCGAAAAAATCTTCAAGCTTGTTTGACGCAAGGTGCGTTGAGTTTGCCGGAGACGCATTTGGCACCTTTGGCTGCGGAATTAGCACCGGCACCAGCGCTGGAGACAAGCACTGTCGCAGAGCCCCGTGTGGATTCTGCTTTGGGTTCTGTAGTGGATTCTTCTGCCGACCAGAGAGTCACTGAAGGCCAGATGGTGGGCAGACTCGATACCAAAGAAGGAGCATGATGCATACATAATCATGCATAAATATGCAATGACCAATAACTCCATAACTCGTCAGAAGACATCAGAACACCAGTCGAGCAAGCTTTGGGTCACATGTCGCACTTTTACCTTGGCACCAAACGCAGAGTTTCGCGGGAGGTGTCGACGCCAGTGCTGTTGATGCAGATGTCACTGGCAACGGGGCAGTAGAAAGTTCTGCTTCATCAATGGTGCCGCCTGCAGAGGATCAAAGTGCTTGGCTGAGCAACTCATGTCAATCATGGTGGGACACATTCGAACACTGTCAAACATTGTCAGACATCTTCAGACCATGTCAGCCTTCTTGTAATATTTTTTGATGAAAGGACCGCTGTCTCTGATGAATGTTTTGCAAGCATTGAGGAGTATTCGCATTATCTCTAGGCACATTTTTTTTCAAGGGGTGACCGCGTGACAATGCAATTGTACTGAATGCTCCTTAGTCAAGCCATGTCGAGCCACTGAATTTTCGAAAAAATCTTCAAGCTTGTTTGACGCAAGGTGCGTTGAGTTTGCCGGAGAAGCATTCGGCACCTTTGGCTGCGGAATTAGCACTTGCACCAGCGCTGGAGACAAGCACTGTCGCAGAGCCCCGTGTGGATTCTGCTTTGGGTTCTGTAGTGGATTCTGCTGCCGACCAGAGAGTCACTGAAGGCCAGATGGTGGGTAGACTCGATAGGTGACATAATTAATCATCCCGGCGGATGGTTTACCGCGCGTGCATTTGATGTTTTTTCTGAATCCAGCTTTGTTTGCCTCTCATTCATTTGCTGGTATTTGCAGCCATTTCTTAGTGTCAGAATGTGTGTTTTCTCACTTGTTCTGAATTCCATGTCTTAAAAAAAACAAAATTACTTTACTTCGTGTGATCCCCACCATGACATTTATACATTTTCTTACTGGCAAATCTTCTGGCATATCTTCTGGCATATATTCTGACATATCTTCTGGCATTCTATCTGGCATTCTATCTGGCATATCTTCTGGCATATCTATCTGGCATATCTTCTGGCATATTTTCTGGCATTCTATCTGGCAAATCTTCTGGCATTCTATCTGACATTCTATCTGGCATATCTTCTGGCATATTATCTGGCAAATCTTCTGGGATTCTATCTGGCATATTTTGTGGCATTCTATCTGACATTTTATCTGGCATTCTATTTGGCATACCTTCTGGCATTCTGGCATCTCTTCTGGCATTCTATCTGGTATATCTTCTGGCATTCCATCTGGCATATCTTCTGGCATATTATCTGGCATATCTCATGGCATTTTATCTGGCATACCTTCTGACATTCTATCTGGCATATCTTCTGACATTCTTTCTGGCATATCTTCTGACATTCTTTCTGGCATATCTTCTGACATTCTTTCTGGCATTCTTTCTGGCATTCTATCTGGCATATCTTCTGACATTCTATCTGACATCTTTTCTGACATTCTTCCCGTTGAGGTCCGGCAGTGCCCACTGCGATCTGGAAGTCGCGGTTGAGGTCCGGCAGTGCCGACTGCGATCTGGAAGTCGTGGTTGAGGTCCGGCAGTGCCCACTGCGATCTGGAAGTCGCGGTTGAGGTCCGGCAGTGCCCACTGCGATCTGGAAGTCGCGGTTGAGGTCCGGCAGTGCCCACTGCGACCTGGAAGTCGCGGTTGAGGTCCGGCAGTGCCCACTGCGATCTGCAACTCGCGGTTGAGGTCCGGCAGTGCCCAGTGGGATCTGGAGCTCGCGGTGGTGGTCCGGCTGTGCCCACTGGGATCTGGACTGCGAGGAGGAGGCGGCGGGTGAGGAGGCGGAGGAGGCAGAGGAGGCGGAGGAGGAGGAGGAGAACAGCTCTGATAAAATCTAACAACCCTCACCTGGCAGGTGGGGAAAAAACATGTTGATACATTTTGTGTTTTGTGTACTGTAGTTTTTGCCAATATCAATATCTTGAACATGTATCTTCCAAAACAAGCTTCTGCAGGACGCACCTTTGTGTAGTGATTTTGTATTTTCCCACGGGAATACCAAAGAAAAATCGGACCATTTTAAGAAATCGTCTTCAGTCTTCGCTCTTTTACATCTTCACATCGCACGAAGAGTCTCCGCGGTGACACGGCTGAGGTTACCATAGGTTACCAACAGTATGGTGCTGCCAGCGCCATTGCCATTGATTGGCATATTGCCACAGCTGAGTGTCAATGCAGACGGTACAGAAGATCTTACAGCGTAGCGTCAAGTGCTAATGTAAACGCTACATGAACGTTATTTATTACCCCACCCCAACCCAACCCAATGCTACAGACGATCTCATAGCGTAGCATCACCATACTGTAGCGTGCAAGTGCACATGAACGTTATTACCCCACCCCCCGCCCCACCCCACCCCAAATTGCTAAAACGCACGTACGGTTTCCCAGCCGCCAGCATAATCCTGCATAGTGACATTGATCATACGTTGATTGAAGGTTTTTTTTTTTGCATTCTTGTTCATTCATGTTGATGCTGCAATGACTCCATAACTCGTCAGAAGACATCAGAACACCAGCCGAGCAAGTTTTGGGTCACATGTCACACTTTCACCTTGGCACTATGAACGCAGAGTTTCGCGGGAGGTGTCGACGCCAGTGCTGTTGATGCAGATGTCACTGGCAACGGGGCAGCAGAAAGTTCTGCTTCATCAATGGTGCCGCCTGCAGAGGATCAAAGTGCTTGGCTGAGCAAATCATGTCAGACATTTGTCAGACACATTCGGACACATTCGGACACCGTCAAACATTGTCAGACATCTTCAGACCATGTCAGCCTTCTTGTGGGCACAACCCCTCTTGACACATTGTGATGTATTGTGATGTATCGTGATGTATCGTGATGACTGTTTTGCAAGCATTGAGGAGTGTTCGCACTAGCTGTAGCTCTAGGCAGATTTCTTTAAAGGCGTGACCGCGTGACAATGCAATTGTACTTTATTTTTCTTAGTCAAGCCATGGCGAGCCACTGAATTTGGTACCGCCGTCCGTAGCGAACTAGGTGTTTTTAAGCTTTCTCATTCGCAGCTGCAACATTTCTTGCTTCAAGTTCTTTCAGAACTTTGGGCACCATTTGCCACAAGGCATGGCGATTATTTTATCGCCATTTCTACTGACGAACACAGTTCCATATCCCTGAAAGATTTTAGTGTGATGTACACTTTTTGCGAAAAGAATACATGTTAGCGTGATGTACAACCATGCAAAGAAGACACGTAAATTGTAGCATGAAAGATGCGGGGGAGAACGATGTTCGCGTGATGTACAATCATGTAAAGAAAACATGTACAGCGTAGCATGAAAGATGTGAGCGTGATGCACAATTATGTGAAGAAATGGAAAGAAGACATGTACAGCGTAGCATGAAAGATGTTAGCGGGATGTACAAACATGTAAAGAAGACATGTACAGCGTAGCATGAAAGAAGCACGTTAACAGCTCCCCCCAGGCGAAGATATGTGTGATCATGTGAAGAAGACGTCTGAAGCGTAGCATCGAACATAGGAGCAAGTGCAAAAAGACGTTAACAGCCCCCACCCGAAGGTATGTGTGATCATGAGAAAAAAGCGTCTGAAGCGTAGCATCGATCGTGTGAGCAAGTGCGAAAGGACGTTAACAGCCACCCACCCACCCCAAAAGGTATGTGTGATCATGGGAAGAAGACGTCCGAAGCGTAGCATCAAACATGTGAGCGAGTGCAAAAGGACGTTAACAGCCCGCCCCCCACCCGAAGGTATGTGTGATCATGTGAAGAAGACGTCTGAAGCGTAGCATCGAACATGTGAGCAAGTGCAAAAGGACATTAACAGCTCGCCCCCCACCGGAAGGTACATATATGTGGTCATGTGAAAAAGACGTGGGTTCATGTAAGGAAAACATGTGTGGATGCAGATGAAAGTCATGAATTTTGAAAGTAGAAAAAAGATGAAAAAGAGCAGAAACGCCGAGTTCACTACAGGCGGCGGTAGCTAAAATTTCGATGATTTTCGTCAAACTTGTTTGACTCAAGGTGCGTTGAGTTTGCCGGAGACGTATTCGGCACCTTTGGCTGCGGAAGTTTCACCGGCACCAGCGCTGGAGACAAGCACTGTCGCAGAGCCCCGGAGAGTCACTGAAGGCCAGATGGTGGGCAGACTCGATACCAAAGAAGGAGCATGATCCATACATTACATAATCATGCATAATGACGTTGATTATACGTTGATTGAAGCGGCTTCTTTTAACCCACCTGTCAGGTGAGGGTTGTTAGATTTTCTGTCAGCTGTTCCGCCCGCCTCGTCCTCCTTCTCCTCCGCCACCTCAACTGCAAGCTCTTGATCGCAGTGGTCCGCGCCGGACCATGAACAGCAAGCCCGGGATCAGAGTGGTCCCCGCCGGACCTCAACTGCAAGCTCGTGATCGCAGTGGTCCCCCCGGACCCGAACAGCAAACCCAGGATCAGATTCGTCCCCCGCCGGACCTCAACCACAGAGAATCTCCGAAGATATACCAGATAATTAGAATGCCGGAAAGGTTGTCAGAAGATATGCCAGATACATACGCCAGAAGGAATGTCGGAGAGAACGTCAGGGCATATGCCAGAATGAATGCTTGAAAAAATGGCAGATAGAATTTCAGAAAAGATGCCAGGTAGAATGCCAGAAGGGAGGGTCAGAATATGTGATAATATACGCCAGAAAGATGCAGAAAGTATGTCAGAATAGAATAGAATAGATGACAGATAGAATGCCAGATAGAATATGATAGAACGCCAAAGTATATGCCAGAAAGAATGTCAGATAATTATTGTCAGATAGAATGCCAGAATAAAGAAGCCATATATACTTCCAGGATCTTCCAGGTGGTATGTCAGAAACTATGTCAGACTAGTGGTTCAGGATGGGGATCACTCGAAGAAAGTATATGTTTTTTTCCGCATTCTTGTTCGTCAATGTTGCAATGACTGCATAACTCGTCAGAATACATCAGAACACCAGTCGAGCAAGTTTTGGGTCACATGTCACACTTTCACCTTGGCATTGTGAATGCAGAGTCTCGCGGGAGGTGTCGACCCCAGTGCTGTTGATGCAGATGTCACTGGCAATGGGGCAGCAGAAAGTTCTGCTTCATCAATGGTGCCGCCTGCAGAGGATCAATGTGCTTGGCTGAGCAAGTCATGTCAGACATGGTCAGACGTGGTCGGACACATTCGGACACCGTCAAACACTGTCAGACATCTTCAGGCCATGTGAGCGTTCTTGTGGGCACAACTCCTCAATGTATTGTGATGTATTCTGCAGATGTAATGTGATGTACTGTGATGAATGTTTCGCAAGCATTGAGGAGTTTTCAGATGTTTTCAGTAATTATTCACATTCCTTCTAGGCACAGTTTTTTCAAGGGGTGACCGCGTGACAGTGCAAGTGCACTTTATACTCTTTTGCCAAGCCATGTCGAGCCACTCAATTTTCGATGAGTTTCTTCAAACTTGTTTGACTCAAGGTGCGTTGAGTTTGCCGGATTCGGGACCTTTGGCTGCGGAATTTGCACTGGCACCAGCACTGAAGACAAGCACTGTCGCAGAGCCCCGTGTGGATTCTGCTTTGGGTTCTGTAGTGGATTCTTCTGGCGACCAGAGAGTCACTGAAGGCCAGAGTGTCAGACCAGAGTCGGTCGGAGTGGTGACCCTAGTGGTGATCGAAGAACACGCATGAAACATACAGAATGACGTAGAATGACGACGATGATTATGAGTTGATTGGAAGTGACTGTTTGCTGCATGAAACAAATCAGAAGACGTTAGGACACCATTTGAGCAAGTTTCAGGGTGACATGTCAGACTTTCACCTTACACTTATTTCAGGGTGACATGTCACATTTTTATGTCACAAATGTCGCGCTCTTGCATGATACGTGTCAACGACAGGAGGTGTGGATGCCAGTGCTGATGGAGATGTCACTAGCGATGGGGCAGCAGAAAGCTGTGCCCCATCAATACTGAGATCTGCAGAAAATCCAAGTGCTTGGCTGAGCAAATCAAGCTGTCAGACATTGTCAGGCACTGTCAGACCATGACAACCTTTTTGTGGGCACAAGTGCTCTTGATATAGTATTGTGATGTATGGTATTGTATGGTGATGTATTGCAATGAATGTTTTGCAAAGCATTGAGGAGTGTTCGCATTGGCCTAGGACAGTTATATAATGTCAACCCCGGATCAATTAACATGACGACCCCGTTAACGAAATTAATCCAGGTGGACCGCTGGTTATCCAATTATTTTTGTTCAATTAATTTTGATTTGGGTGATTTTTTTTGAGAACTCTATTGTTTGAGGATTAATTTAAGTTGGGGGTACCCAAATTAATTTAGTTTGAATGCTTGAGAATGAGAGTGGGGCCACCTCGAATTAATTTAGCAATGTTGGTAATTCTAGAGCTAATACATGCATCCAAGCCCGACTTCGCAGAAGGGTTGTGTTTATTAGATACAGAACCTACCCAGGTTCCACCTGGTCATGTGGTGAATCATGATAACTTGACAAATCGTGTGGCCTTGCCGACGATGCGTCATTCAAGTTTCTGACCTATCAGCTCAATCAAATTTGGATCAAACAGTGATACAATGCCGGCATGGTGGCAAATTAATTTGGGGGTGGGTGTACTAGTACGGGACCCAATGATTGTAATGACATTAAATCTAACTGGGTGGCATTTACAAGTAAGAAGATGCGTTTGGAACAGAATCTTATTGCTTGCGCGCAATGAGAATTGAAAACCCCTGTAAAACCTCACGAACAAGTACACACCCAATCTATTTCTTTTTGCGCCAACAAAGTTGTTCCGTTTTCCCAGCTCGCGTGGCCACGCGTAAAATTAATTTGGGGGTGGGTGTGCTAGTACAGGACCCAATGATTGTAATGACACTGTGTGTGTTTGCTGCAGTGGCGCAAGGCCAAGGGCGGCATACGGGCAGTTTTCGGGTACCATAATTTTGAACAACCCCCATTTTCCTGAAACATTGGATACATACCTTCACCCCTACCATCCCCTACCTAAAAGAATTTAGCTAACACACACCTCAATTAATTAGAAGAAATTATTTGGGGTCCCTGAACCCAAGAAGACATGGTAGTTCCACCACTCTTGAATAATTTTGCCTGAAATTAATTTAGGTGGTGGGGAGAGGACCATTTATTACATCTAGGTGGGGGGGAAGTGCCGCCGAGCAAATTAATAGAGGTACCTGGGACCCTTGGATTAATTTTTTAATTAATCGAGGTGGGGGGACCACTCTGGGGGACCCTTTTAGGGGGGTGGTCATCAATAAACTATGGTTTATTAATTAGGGGGGTACTCCCCAAATAGTGAGAATTGGATACTTAAATGGTACCCCCCCGCCCCCCCCAATTAAACAGCGTAGAGGTTTAACCATCCAGGGTCGACATTAATAGATGTTGATAGCTGATAGTGTTTCAGGCATTACATTCTGTCAAACCACGTGTCAAGTTCCAAACATTTTATCTTAAGTTGTCACTGAAGGTGCGTTGAGTTTGCCAGAGACGCATTCGGCACCTTCGGCTGTGGAATTTGCGCCGCAACCAGCACTGGAGACGAGCACTGTTGCAGAGCCCTGTGTGGATTTTGCAGCGGATTCTTCTGCCGACCGAAGAATCGTCACTGAAGGCTGGAGTGTGGAACCACCAGCCTGTGTATTTGAAACGTGTTTCGAAGAAGTCAGGAACCAAACATCAGCAGAAGTAGTCCAAATTAAACTAAGTGAAACATATATAAAACTAAACCATGTTTTTGTCCAAGATGTGCTTGGCCTTGCTTGGCTGCCTGGTTTCAATTGATTTCTGCAGCCAGAGTTGATGCAGTTGGAGGTTTTCCTGAAGCATCTGCAGGTGCATCGCCAGATGGCTATCCCAGTGCCTGGCTACGCAAGGTGTACATATCATATCCATTTCATATCCCTTGTCATCCCTTGTCATCCCTTGTCCAATCATGAATTCTGGCAGTGAGGTTCTGATGCAAACTGCAAGGCAAGGATTAATTACACAAATAGGTTGATTACACATGTTTATGATGTGTTTCTGCTGGTATTCAGTTGAGATTGGATACATGATTGATTCGGTGTGATTCGCTTATTTCTTACGTAATTGCTTGGGCCTGGTTCATCCTGGTTCCAGCCGCTTCATCGCTTGGTTCAGGTTTTGTCCTCCTTTGGTCGAGCCACTTCTGTTGATGTTGTGAACCTGCTTGACTCAAGGTGCACCGCAACCAGCGGAGACGAGCGCCGTCGCAGAGCTGGATTCTGCAGGGCAAAGAATCGTTGGAGGCGTGGTATGGCGTGTCACGTCAGACTGGAGGGCGAACCTTTGATGGATTCTTTGAGTAGACATGACAAGACGCACTCTGCCAACGCATTCAACTGCACCTATCACTCAGACTTGAGATTGGTTTGAGGATAGTATGAGAAGATTTCAGTGAATGCAAGTGTTTGGTTGGTTGTTTGCGTTTGCTTCTGTTTGCTTCATGAATTTCGAGGTGTCAATGCAAACACATTTGGAGATGCAGCAGGGATTTCTGCCTCATCCAAGTTGCGGTCTGCAGGAGTTCAAAGCTGCGACCTTAGTTTGGGAGTTTGGCAAAGCGAAGTCAGAAAGAGTTGAATCGTCAGCAAGAACGGGGCTTTCAACAGCGAACATAGAATGATGGAAATATGATGGATACAAGGCAATTCCAACTTGTAACTAGTTTGAAAGCTCCATGCGACTTGGATGAAATCTTTAAAGATGTTGCTGGACCCAAAACGCTACTTGCATCTACTTGCTCAAATATGCTTAAGCCATTTCTTTTCGATTTTGATTTTTAATTTCCAAAGGTACCACTTTCTGGTATAAGTGGTGTCCAGATCGTTTGACCAGTGGTTAGAGTGAACAAAGCCGACATATTCAATCTATAGGCAGAACTGGGAAAGGATTGCCTTGGAATTCTCTTGCTCTGATTACCTCCCATCCTTAGTTGGTTCACAATTTTCTTCAACATATCGTTTTTGTATGTTTTTGTTTGTTTTTTCATGTTTTTCATGTGGAGTGCCATGGTGTGCTTCCATTTCTGTTGATTTTCAGCCATTGGATCCGCCAGGCGCTCAGCGAGGCCTCGAAGGCCCCGGAGGCCCCGGAGGCCCCGGAGGCCTCGGCACGGACGGGAGGTTGTTACCTGGAAGCAGAGAAGCACAGCTGTGTCATGTTGTTTCGCATCCATGAAATTTGGATCAAGTTAGAGTAGGTCGTTGTAGGTGGAACACATGTGCGCAAAGCTCGCCATCTTGTGGCCATGTCTTTGCTGCCTCTCTTGTGCCTTCTGAAGCTGCCAGTGCTTCATGCCGTCATCACCGAGGGTGGCACAGTGCAAACCATGGAAGTGCGAGCATCAGGTCAAGTGATGAGGCGCCAAAGCATCAAGCAGGATCTAAGTGAAGAGATTGCTGACAAGTTGTTTTCTACCGCAGAGATTCAGTGTGACAATACCCTGGACACAAACACCAGCAAGAATGTGGTCTTGGGTGTTACTCCCACCGTCACCAGTCAATGCGGAAGACCAAGGAGACACAAACGCTTCTTGACGGATGGAGAAACCCGGGTGAACAACAACCAAAACAAGAGGTACTGGAGAAGTTGCGGCAATGACAATGCGCCAGCGGCTACCCTGAGCTTCAACGAGACCTGTGTCCGCCAAATTCGCATTTGGTCACGCCCCGACTGCTGCGGCAGCCAGAGTGCCGGGGTGCTGGCGAAGGTGTGGGACGGTGAAGCATGGCAGCAGTGTGGTGAAGCTTCCACAAATGTCGGAACGCAAGCAGCCTTCACCTTCCATTGTGGCATCAAGGGCTCCAAGTTGAAGCTTACCAGACCCCTGGCGTTGTTTTGTTCCTTTACTTCCTTTACTTCCCCATGGGAATTTCTAGGATAAATCACCAGAAATCATAAATGGGAGGTGATGTTTTTCCATGTTTTTCCAGACTCAAATCTGTCCAAGGAGCGGAGGATTCCAGTGGAATCATTTCCATCTCAGAGGTCCATCTCTATCCAGGCGTGCAGCCCCCATTCTGCATGCCTGGTGACATCGACACGGGCAGCAACCTGGCCTTGGAGAGGACTCCCTCGGTGACGTCAGACTGCAGCCAAATCTCGGGCTCGTCCAAGGCTTTCATGACGGATGGAGAGCTGCCCAGCAACAAAAAGAAGCTTGGGTGCAAGCAACAGGCAACGGGCAACAGTGATGACAACGTTGATGTTACTATAGTGTTTCTTAATCTCCCCCAACTGGAGAATCCACCTTTTGCTTCTTGATGTTTCTTGTGGTGTGTTTTTTTCGGTTGAGATCTCAACAGCTCTAAATGCGCCAGGAAGTATTGGCGCTCCTGCAAAGAGAACAACCCCGCGGCCACGGTGACCTTCGCTGAAAGCAGCTGCGTGCGCCAGGTGAAGATTTGGGCCCGCAACCAAGGCGATGGAACCGGTGCAGGCATTCAAGCTATGGTGCTGAGGGGCAGCGATTTGGGCTTGTTTAGAAAAATTAGAACAGGTGTTTTTTGATGTTTTTACGAATTTCTCCATTGGAGAAGTTGGACACATCACGAGCTAATGATGCTAATGGGATTCGAATGGATTTGAGGTTTTTTAAAAATATCCATCGGAGAAGCACATCCAAGGCAACTGGACCCAATGTGGCAGCGACGCACCTGCCATTGGCAAGGGCGAAACCCACACCTTCGAGTGCAATTTGATCGGGACAAAAATCCGTTTGAAGAGGGAGTGCAACAGCTGCAGGATGCAAATCAGGGAGATGAAGGTCTTCAGCAACCAAGCAGCCTGAGCCCGTTGCGCGATACTGGCCTTGTACACAAAATTGCGCCTCGTTTCATTGCGGGATACTTGCGCTTGAACCTGTCGAAAGGCGCAGGTTTGTGATGACAGAGCATTGGGAACACTGCCCGAGTGGTTGGTGTAAAAAAAAGCATGTTCAGCCATCCAACAGAGCATGGGGTTGGTTACCATCAGACAAAATCCACAATCATCCACATTCACATCCAGTGGCAATACGACGTGCACCGTGCTGCGCAGCTGGAAAGCCGCCAGGTCCGAGACGGGAGTACAGTGCAGGCGTGGTTTGGGATATCGGCTATGGTTAGCCAACGGCTAGCACTTGATTCTTATAGGGTTGACAGATGTTGACAACTGACATCAGATGGCAGGACACGTATGGTGCACCCAGTGCACACCCAGTGTTACACCTTACAAACTTGTCAAAGATTAGTCTCCTTTTGTGCCATGCACGCAGCCAAGACAGAGCCAGGTTTGGAGGCTAAGAAAGCAAGAGGCCACGGGTTGGAGGGGTTATGGATGGCAACGAGTGAAATCAAAATTAATTATATAGTCACATAATGTCACATATAGTTTTATACATATTCTTTGCATAATTTATATCAAAAATTACATGTTATATGTGCATATTATATATTAATATGTATTTATATATTATTTTTAAATGTGTGTGTATATGTGTGTGTATGTATGTATGTATGTATGTATGTATGTATGCATGCATGTATGTATGTATGTATGTATGTATGTAAGTAATGGTATGTATGTAAGTAATGGTATGTATGTAAGTAATGGTATGTATGTAAGTAATGTAATGTATGTAAGTAATGTAATGTATGTAAGTAATGTAATGTATGTATGTATGTATGTATGTATGTATGTATGTAATGTATGTAATGTATGTATGTATGTATGTATGTATGTATGTATGTATGTATGTATGTATGTATGTATGTATGTATGTATGTATGTATGTATGTATGTATGTATGTGGGAGCCGTCCGTAAAAGCAGGTCACAAATTTATGAATTGATGCGTTTACTTTGCTTTGCGCGATTGCTAAAACCTGCATCGCGATAGGCTGAGCGATTGGTTGGCGATTGGTTATACGGCTACCACCCTATTACTACTACTACTACTAGTACTACTACTACTACTACTAGTACTACTACTACTACTACTACTTTTACTGCTAGTACTGCTAGTACTACTACTACTACTACTACTACGACTACTACTACGACTACTACTACTACTACTACGACTACTACGACTACTACGACTACTACGACTACTACGACTACTACGACTACTACGACTACTACGACTACGACTACTACTACTACTACTACTACTACTACCAGTACGAGTACGACGACTACTACTACTACTACTTCTACTACTACTACTACTACTTTCGAGACCAGAACCATGCCAATAATTGACATGGCCGCGCGGATTCCGCGCGCGAGCTAGCTCCAATTGAAAACAGGTCAGAAACACCAAAAAGGCAGCACTTGCCTAGCATCCCATCCATCCATCCATCCATCCACCTCAGCTCTTATCATTGCTACTTCTACTATTACTATTACTACTATTACTACTATTACTACTATTACTACTATTACTACTATTACTACTATTACTACTTCTACTACTACTACTACCACTACTACTACTACTACTACTACTTTCGAGACCAGAACCATGCCAATAATTGACATGGCCGCGCGGATTCCGCGCGCGCGGAATCCGCGCAGATGTTTTCAGGTCAGAAGGACATTCAAGCTAGCTCCAATTGAAAACAGGTCAGAAACAGGTCAGAAACACCAAAAAGGCAGCACTTGCCTAGCATACTACTACTACTACCATCCACTACCATACCACTCCACTACTACACTACTACGACTACTACACCTACTAGCTCTTATCATTGCTACTAATACTACTACTACTACTACTCCTTGCCTACATCCCATCCATCCATCCATCCATCCATGCTCTTATCATTGCTACTACTGCTACTACTGCTACTACTGCTACTACTACTACTGCTACTACTACTACTACTACTCCTACTACTACTCCTACTCCTACTTACTACTCCTACTCCTACTCCTACTCCAAACGCAACCTCTCTCTCTCTCTCCCTTGCCTATTCCCTCACCCTCCTACCAGAACTCCTACGCCTACTCCTATTCCAATTTCCACTACCACTACTGCTAGTGCTACTGCTACTGCTAGTGCGCTGTGAGTTTTCCGGACCGTTTCCGGACCGCACAAGCTTATTTTGCTCCCAAATTTGAAATCGAATGCGTTCACGCATGGATCCTTAACCTCATTACTAGATTTGCTACTACCCCCAGCACTACCACCACACCCGCTGCTACTGCACCACCCTGCACCACCACTACCACCACTACCACTAGTACACCTAGGAATTTCTGCTCTTGCTTTTAAATCCAATTGCACTCGTGTGAAGGGTCAGAAACGAGTCAGAAACCAGTCAGAAACCAGTCAGAAACCCGTCAGAAACCGGCCAAACGCAATCTCTCTCTCTCTCTCTCCCTTGCCTATTCCCTCACCCTCCCATCAGAACTCTTTCCGGACCGTTTCCGGACCGCGCAAGCTTATTTTGCTTCCAAATTTGAAATCGAATGCGTTCACGCATGGATCCTTACTCCCACTACTACCACCACACCCGCTGCTACTGCACCACCACTACCACTAGTACACCTAGGAATTTCTGCTCTTGCTTTTAAATCCAATTGACACGAGTTCCGCTGAAGGGTCAGAAACGAGTCAGAAACCAGTCAGAAACCAGTCAGAAACCCGTCAGAAACCGGTCAAACGCAACCATCTGTTTCCCCCTCCCTCCCTCTCTCTCTCTCTTTCTCTCTTTCCCTCCCTCTCCCTTTCTTCCCTTGCCCTGCTACTAGAACTCCTTCTCCTATTCCTACTCCTACTCCTACTCTTACCCCTCCTACTCCTACTACTACTACTACTACTACTACGACTACGACTACGACTACGACTACGACTACGACTAGTACTACTAGGACTACTAGTACTACTAGTACTACTAGTACTACTAGTACTACTGCTGCTGGTACTGCTGTGAGTTTTCCGGACCGTTTCCGGACCGCGCGAGCTTATTTTGTTCCCAAATTTGAAATCGAATGCGTTCACGCATGGATCCTCATTATATAATACATAACTTATATTTTATGTATATGATCTGATCAACGAAGAACAAACCCTTCCGCGATTGCTCACTGTGGTACCGCGGTTGCTACGCGATTGGCGGAGCGATTGAGGGCTGTCCGGGAAAAGGTATTTTGGACAACCCCCATGTATGTATGTATGTATGTATGTATATCCCAGAATAACAGCATGAAACATCATGAAGAGCCAACAAGGGGTTGGCAAACCATGGCAAACCTGAAAGGAGTTCAATAAGACTCAATAAGAGTTGGTAGTATACATTCACAACATCGTGGCTTTTGGCCTTCATATTATGTAGCTTCATCATCCAGCTACAGCAACGCCCTAACAGGCAGAGCGGCACAAGTGCCTCCCGGATATGTACAAGTCGGAAATTACGAGGCCCACACTGATTTGAACCATGGATGTAGAAAGTGGCAGTTTGCAGTCTCGTTGCGGTTAATGAACCAGCCCGGGGGCCGGATGAGATAGGCCCCTTTGATGGAGCATGGTGTTTGGACTATTCTGGGTTTTGAAGATTAGCCCCTTACTACATCGACATATGACTACTCACTACCCATCACTCGGTATACAATGGATTGGTATATAGTAGGCTTCACTTTATGAAATTCATGGTTAATTCATGTTATATATCTATATCTCTATATCTATATCTATATATATATATATATACAAATATGTGTTTATTAAACATATTTATATATAGTTTATATTAATATCTCATCCATTCCCATCCCCCTTGGTCCAAAACTGTAACTGTGACCGTCCCAGGTACGCCAGAGCCAGCTGCCAGACCTCAAGGCCTTGGGCCCAGCCTTTGACGCCAACGTGGCGCCTTGGCTGCGCATGGCTGCGCCGTGGCGTTGATCCCACCATCTCCACGCCGGGCGGTTGTGGTCATGAGATATTTGTGTTATGGTCATGTTATGTTGTGTTTGTGTTGTGTTGGTTAATGTTGGTTAATGTTGGTTAATGTTGCTTATTTGATGAATTCTATATGTTTTGTTGTTGTTCCTCCATATTTTCGTTGTCGTGGGTTACGTCCAATGCTGCATGTTCAGTCGCGTTGTTTCTGATAGGCGGGGATGGTTTGGCATAGTTCAACCATTGATTGGTGGGTCGGTGCATTGGAATATCAAGCGGGCTATGAATCAGATCATCAACATCATCATGGGTTTTCTCATTTGGTTGGTGGTTTGGCACATTTTTTATTTTCCATTATATACTGTATGGGATAATCCTTCCCATTGACTAATATTTTTCAAAATGGTTAAAACATGTTAAAACCACCAACCAGTCATTATTCCATCCTGCCACTGCAAACTACCACTTGGCCCTTGGCATGTGTCGGAAGCGCGGCTGCCAAGGTGAAGTTGCAGAAACACTACGGGATTTCGGTCCCTTGGCTGTTCAAAAACATCCCAACACTGGCCGTAGCGTCCATGTACTTGTGGAATCATGTGCAACCATTTAGACTTAATGTTTAGACGTTGAAAGCTGGAAGTGAAGATCTGGCTCTTGATACTCCTGCGTTGGCACTTGAAACATCTAGAAACCAAGACTTGCAATGCACTTTTGGTGTGCAAAGGGCTTGAAAATTGTATTTCCCGTGGTTGTTAAATCTGTTAGTAGGTTCCGATTCTTTCGTGTTGCTTGTCGTCCCTTCTGTGGTTTGTGGGTCCTACTCAGGAACAAGCTGCCTTGCGCCTCTATTTGGGCTGCAACCTTGACATGCAGGACCCGAGCCGGTGTCAAGGTGAAACAGCATTTTTCCCTCAGTTTTGTTCAGTTTTTCGAAGATTTCAAGGATTTCAAGGGGTGACTCTGAACTAAACTCCACGTGGACATGTATTTTGCAGTGTCCCTGTCAGGAAGCAGTGAGTCGTTATGATGGAATTCTACAGTGGCGGCAGCGGCACCGTTCTTTGGCCGTATTGCTTTATCAATATTTAAAAAGCAACGCAAGGATACGTAGTGGAACACTCCAAGTTTGAAGCTGACAATCGGAAATATAAGCTTCGGCATTTAGGACATTCATTCGGTTCAAGAAGAAGGCTTTTCCTCCAAATGTTTTTTTTTGTCCTTTAGAATCTTTAGAATGTTCATTCAGTGGCCCGCTTGAGGAGCTTCAGTACCTGCAGCGTAGAGTTGTGACCAGTTTGATCCACATTTCAGAATTCCGAGACCACATCGGCACCCTGCAACAGGCGCTGATGATTTGCGGCAAACGTTGCTGAAGCAGCTGGCGGATGGCCAGCAGCTCCGACCGCCCAACCATGAGCTGGTGCGGAGAGTGCGGGGTGAGTGCTGAAAGATGTTTGATACTGTTAATATAATATATATATATTTATTTAAATTTATATATATATATATATTTATCATATTTACATATGATATGATAATATATGACTCACTGGGCTAGGATTCGTTGGACAATTGGCAGGACGACATAGTTTTTTTCCAATAAAAAAAGAAAGGTTTCCTGCAAAGTGTCCATTGCCATTATGCAAAGGACTCGATGTACAGGCCCTGAGCCAGATGTCAACAATTGTTCATGGCTCTACCAAATACATCCAAATACCAAATTTCATGCTAGTGCCGTGGCAACTGAGGCATACAGCCAGGGGGCAACAAGGATAGGGGCTAGAATCTTGAGCTGAGATAACGATGGAAGTGGAGAATCACTCAATGCGTTTGCTGTACGCTCAGTGCGACTTCGATAGTTGATAAGTTGCAGTCGCCATGTGTCACCATGGTCAATGTTGATCTTGGGGAACTGCGCATACGACGCGCCTCTATGACTGCCACCAGGTGTCTCAGATGGCGGTGGTGAACCCCTGCGCACTGCGGACATTGGATGGCTCTCCGGTATCCATTTTCCACGTGGGTAGCGCCAAATCCAGCAAGGCCGTGCATGACGATCACCTCCAGAGGTGGGGTCGAGATGATGCTGTGTGTGCCGCAGAACTGGGGAGGATATGACAGCATGCCGGTGAAATTTTGTTCATATCGTTCCTAACTGCTCCTAACTTCCTCAACCTCAATTTGCTCTGCTTGGTGGTTTGGAACATTTTTTTATTTTTCCATAGGTTGGGAATGTCATCATCCCAACTGACTCATATTTTTCAGAGGGGTAGCTATACCACCAACCAGTGCTGATATGTCGGATGTGTCCGGAAGTTTTTCGGTGCCAGATTTCGTTCCCAGGTGGAGCATCTTCACTGCCGAGTACGTGGATATTTGGCTCACGCAGCAGACCCTTCAGACTGGGCGCCTGGCAGGCGCATGGAGTCATGGAGCAGAAGTAGACCCCTCGTATCTCGTAGCGTTTAACGAGCATAAAGAACCAGGGATGTCATGAACCAGTGGGGTTACTAACCTACCAAAATGGTTGTTTTATGGGATTTAATGGCTGGTTGGTGGTTTGGAACATGTTTGATTTTTCCATATATTGGGAATAATCATCCCATTTAACTTTCATATTTTTCAGAGGGGTTGAAACCACCAACCAGATTATTATGTGGCCGCTACCTACCGGCGCCAATGTGAGCATGTTGGTTTTTTTGGCATACTTACTTGCAGTCAGACGGCATTCGAGTCCTTTTATATACATGTTCTCTCGACGCCTGGTAGCAGAAAGTTCGTCCGTTGAGATTGAGTATGCTTTGCAGGACATGTGCAGATCTATGACCTCGAGAATGTGAGTTTCTGGTGCTTGGCCATGGTTTCAGCACGTTTCAGCGCTAACGACAACTAACGACTCTGGCAGAGATTTCTTCGTACGGTGAAAAAATCATCCGATTTCCGAGGCAAATTTCCAGTGGATCACTGGTGGAAAAGCTGAAGATTCTACTGGGAGCTGGGCAGTGGCTTGAAACATCGTGTTTCATGGGTACTATGGGTACTCGCTGGTGGAGAAACATGCCACGGTGTTACAGAAAGATTGGTGGTGTTGAATGGTGTTGTACCATGTTTATATAATTAATTATATAATTAATTATATAACTGCTACAGTATTCCTCTCAGTACCGTGGATTAGACGTATAAGATGTTTTCATCCGTTTTCCAAAAATGCTCCCAAAATCATTGAAGCAATGGAGAGAGCACCAGCTCGCACCTCGGGAGTCGGAGAGATGTCCCGCAAGTCCTGGAGTCCTGGAGCCAAGAATAGCCAAGATCTTTCAAGGCGTCACCATGATGCAACTAAGGAATTATATGGAGCAGGCACGTGTTGAAACACGGGGCTCGATCAAGCGCCGGCCATTCGGTTTCACATGCAGGATGTGTTTGGACAAGCAGAAAATCCATCAAAATCCCAAGCATCGCAGCTATTCTTGTTTGCGGCAGTTTGCATATAGATGGAAGTTATTAGTTGCCATGTTTGTCATTGCTCTTAAAAGTACCTACTATACAGAGTGACACCGGTGGTGACCTCTGGAGGTGTCCCACATCTTCGTGATCCGTTCTGGATCCATCTTTTCCATGGCCTGGAAGTTTGTGAAGGGCTGGATTTCACCCAGAACTGCTTCCAAGATCAATGTGCCCCGGTTGACCAAAGTTCGTGGTTGGATTGGCGATGGCGATGACGACGTTGTTTAACTAGACCTTGGAATCCAATGGGGTGCCGCCATGAGGCATATTGATGGCATGTTAATTTTAATAAATGCACTTAAAACTTTAGAGATCTTTAGAGAAGGCACTTGACAAATGTCAACCTTTGGATGTGAAGCCAGCGGCCGAGGTTTTTCAGTTTTCAGCTGATATACTGATATACTTGACCAGTTTATTCAGTGTCTCAGCGGCTGGTGAGTAGATGTAGTACCTTCTTTGAAGCCCTCAGGCACATTGTCCAAAAGGGTTTTCTGAATTTGTACACTAACATCCATAAACCTTGGAATTCTCAAGGACAATCTGGAAACTCCAAAAATATGGTCGTAAGATCTAGTGACACAAAGTAAGACTTTGAGATTATTCAAGACTGCTTTATTCAAAAAAGAATGGGGCTTAGTTACATGATCATATAGAGATTAGATGATTCATTTCTCCCATTATGTGGGGACAAAAATACGGGAACAAAAATGACAATGGATTGGTTGGAGGGAAAACGTACAGGAAACCCCTCTAATTATAAGTCTAATTGATAGTAATTATATTGATAGTAAAAACCATTTGGTTGGTGGTTTGGAACATGTCTTATTTCTCCATACATTGGGAATCATATTCCCAACTGACGAAGTCATATTTTTCAGAGGGGTAGCTATACCAGCAACCAGCAAAAACCATGGGTTTCCCGTATCAATCCATTGAAAATGACCCGTTTGTTGGTTCCCCAGTGAGGTGTCCAGCGACATCCCCAGAGACTTACTTCAGCTCTTGGGCCCTGACGCGGCGTTGCTGCCCATGCTGAAGCCGCAGTGGCTGCTGGGCACAGTGGCCCTGAGGGGCTACGAAATTTGACAATTCTCAGAGGAAATGACAGATATGACAGTTTTATCATTTTTTTTCAAACAACTATAAACAGCTTTGGATCATCTTTGGATGTCTTTGGAAGTCTGTGCTCTCCTGGGTGCAGGGGATCTGAGGAATTTTTCATGATTGTTGATTGATCCTCATTCAAATCGACCTATGAATCCCTAGGCCGTGGCCCATCAAATGAGTACATGGATAGGTTGAGCACGTTGAGCCTCATTGTACCACATTGCACCACATGGCACATGCCCACAAAGCTAAGTAACCACTGAATTGTGGCTGTTTCCCGCAGACAACCGCTTCGATGAGACAGCTGGATATTTTGCGGTGCCAAGGGTGAAGAAGCCACATTCAGAGCTGAATACAACCGACACCATGCTTGTGGTAGGAACTCAAGCCACAACGAATGTACCTCAATGTACCTCAAATCGGACTAGATGACACAAGAGAAACTGGATGAAACTGGTATGGTTCCTGTATGTTCCTGTTGTTTGCTTCATATTCTCCGAAACATCGGTTGACCGCCGAGGACACTGGCCATGCAGCGACCACCTGAAGTCGCGAGTTCTTCTGGGTTTTGAGAACCCAATGAGTTGCAGACTCGATGTGTTGAGATACGTTGAGATGCTTGGTGCCATATGAATCCATACCCATAGGATCCAATAGGATCCATGTGCTATATATGGTAACATGGATCCCATCAATATACCCCAAATGTTAGCATATATACATATATATACCATACATGGATCCTATGGGATATGATATGAGGCGGATTCATACACATATATGCACATACAATCTCGCCCATTCTCACCCCAGCCCTGTCCACATTACTTGAAGGTATTTGGTGCATTTTAGTGCAAGATAATGAGGGGAATCCAGGCATTCACTCGGTTCAGTGCAGCTTCGATAAACTAATGGGGAACCCACGACATCCTACGACTAATGGGGAATCCAGACTGCTCCCCGTTCTAGGTCGAGAGATTCACACAAAATCACACATACCTTGGAGAGCGCAGAAACTGGATCCTTCATGATCCGTGTGACCCAAAGAAGGTGACGTTTCACAAGCCGCAAGATGGCAAATTGTTCTCCTTCCAGGCATGGTGTCCATGTACCCTATCAATGACTTCTTGGACGATCCAGGTGATAGATTGAATCAGATTGACATTGTGCCTGATAGTATTTGATAGTCGTGATCGTTGTGATCCAAACCTGCAAAAGATCCGCGACAGGTTCTGTGAGGGGGCGATCCAAACAGCTTTGCATCATGCGATATTTACACATGTTTGAAGGCTCTCAGGATCCCCGAGGATTCAATAACCACATATATAATCATATATAATCTAATCATATATAATCATATATAATCATATATATATATATATATATTTATATATATATATATTATACATGATACATATAGTGACATATCCCTTGATAAGTAAACATAAATCCGCCCGCACCGAAGGTGCTGGGGCGTGATCGTCCGGATGGCACTCGTAAAAGGTTACAGGTTTACCTGGGGGGGGGGGGCCATTATTCGGCCAAAACCTCCTGTTTTTGATAGGTCGTGACGCTCGCCTTCAAAAAACACTGTAAAAAACAGTACGGAAGACACCTGTTCGTGAACGCGCCCGTCCAAAATCGGCAAGCGAAAAGTGTAAAAACCCCGTGTTTTTCAACTTTTTGACCTCAATTTTTTGGTTTGCAACATCTTTTTTTGCGGTTCCGCAGGTGGCCTGGCCCGGAGGCGGATTTTTGAGTTTTTGGACCCGTTTTCGGACTGATTTTCGTCGTTTTGTGATAGCAGAAACACTGGTTTTTACAGTGTTTTTTCTGTTTTCTGCATGCTTGACGGCTAGCTTCAAAACTTCCAAAAACCTCGTAAATTACGCTGTTTTATGTTACGGTGTGAATGAAAACATCGTAAATACCAGTGTTTTTTTGACGTTGGTTAAAAAAACACTGTAAATTACAGTGTTTTTGGCCACCTGACCCTCGAAAACCATGGTATTTGCAGTGGTTTCTGCTTCTCACCGCGCAAAAACACTGTAAATAACAGCAATTTCGCCGTTTTTTCATGTTTTTCGCTATTTTTTGAACTGCGTTGGTCCGCTATACATGGCTATCAAATTCTTCGCGTTTTTTTTTCCGACAATCAGTACTTTCGGATGTTTTTGGTCTCAATGGCCGGCATCATTGGCAGTTACGAGCGGTCGCGAAGGTGTGAGAACAACATCGTTCAAACCGTGGCGGCCGCACAGGGGTTCTTGTCGCGGAGCGACGGCAATAGAAGAGAACAATGGCTGACATCATTAACAGTGTGGACCGTTCACTCGATATGTACATATATGATCTTTATATATATAGATATATCTCTGCTGTGTGAGCCCAACGATGCGGTGCGGGCGGTTGCCGTCGCGAAGCGACGTGAATAAACTACAATGAACTTCCAAATCGCATTGTGTACTTGAAGGTGGCGGGGGGCAGGGCGGCCCAAAAAATGCGGCGAAACTTCTTCATAGTGCAACATTCCCGCATCCGCAGGCTTTGCATGTCTCTACATGTTTTCACAGAATTTGTGTGAGTCGGTCTAAACAATTCCAAACAAACAAATAAACAAACAAGAATCTATAGTATTTGATTGCGTTTGTTTACAGTTTGACAGGTGTGCCGCTGACAATTCACGACAATTCAATACCATGCAAATGTTGTCGTCCTCATGGAAATTGGAAACATTGTTTGTCACTGCATTTCTTGGTCAAAAACATTTCCGCAACACAGCTGAGTGAAAGTGAATTGGTATTTTTGGTATGTGAGGATTTTTGAAGTGCTTTCAACATGACGGCTTTGCTGCTGATGATGCTGATGATGCTGATGTTCTGCCAATCATTCTAGATAATGCAACTGCAATTCCATACAGAAAATACAGGAGAACCTTTGCGAACAATTCTGAACGCATCGAAAGCGACGATACCATAGTTTGTACTGCCGCCATTTGCCAGCAATAAATTTCGGATTTGCACTGTGTGCTTGAAAGATCTTAAAGGAGGGGGGGGGGTAGGGCGGCCCAAAAAATACGGCGAAAATTATTCATACAAGATGCCAAGACTACCCAGCACAATCCGCATCCAAAGGTATTTCGATGAGTTTGCAGTGTGTCTACATATTTTTATGCAAATGATTTTTGTATTGACTGCATTTGTTTACTGTTTGGCAGGTGTGCCGCTGACAACTCATGACTCATACCATTCAAATGGTTGCGTTGTTTTAGATCATTCTAAATCCGCTCTGTTGATCTAGATATGCCTGAAACTTGTGGACACGTGGTTTATCACTGCAATTCTGGTCAAACACGTTTCCGCAGCAAAGCTGAGTCAAAGTGAATCAGTGTTTTTGTTTCTGAAGTGAGTTGAACATGACTAACATGACAGCCTTACAGCAGATGTTCGGCAAACAATTCCAGATCATTTGACTCCATACAGGAAAACCTTTGCAAACCGGTTCTGAACATGTCAATGATGACATGTGCAGAGCCGTTTGTTTTCAATTCACTGTTTCTCAAACCCAACCATGCATGATGCAAAAAGAACATGCAACATTCAAACATGCATTATCCGCCCATTATTACCCGATCACTATATATTTTATTGTCACTTACTATCCCAGTATTATGCCATGAATTTCCCAACATTTGATTTTTGATCCTTCATGCCACAGCTCTGGGGCGTCGCAATGGCACCACTGCTGCATTGGGCGGCTGGGGTCGGAGCAGCCATATCCATTAAGGTCTCCTCATCAATCGAAGCTCGCACCATGAAACCGGGGTTCGAACGACGTGAGTAGCAGTAGCATGGGAACATGGCGGCATCCCTGGCTGAACAAAAAGTGCGACCAGTACTGGCGTGTTTACAGCTAAGAATAGGACAGGATATGACAGGATGGAATAGGTCAATAGGTCAATAGGTGTATATAAATCATTGTAAATCAACCCATTTCGCCTTCGACCCTGTCATTGGTTACATAAGATTACATAAGAGTGAAGAAAAGTGGTCTTTGCCACTGGAATAACTGTAACATGTCAATCCTTTTGAGCCGGCACCAAGGATGACGTGGTATGGCTGGCACCTTTTTTGACGAACAATGTCAGCAAACTGTCCAGAATGAATAACACTGCCATCTATGTATCAGTGTGCGTAGCCCCTTGGCTGCACGTATCCACGGAAGAGATTGGCTGACTCACGGCCTCGACCATGAAGCCTTGATGTATGGATCCCATGGAGCCAGGTACAGACGATGTTGGCGATGTGCATAGCATATTCCGGCAACAAGATCGTTGTTGCTTGGCACATTTTTTTTTTGCACCGGCAAAAATATGGCATCTAACTGGACACCTTCACACGAACTATTCCAGATGAATCCAGTATGTTTCCAGAGAATATGGAATCTCAAAAAAAAAAAGGGCACAAACAAAAAAAAACAAAGCCCTGGATTTTCCTCGTGCCCGATTCCCATGTTGTATATGTCCATGTACTAGCATGTATATACTTATACGGATACAGTAATTAGATTCGTAGATGTAATTAGTAATTATATGTACTTTCATTTCCCTACAAACTATTGAGGTAAGAAGAGCTGGGTAGTGTATGACAGTTCAGTTTGAAGGATAAAAAACATCCATGATGGGTCGATGAAGAGGTCTACCCAATTCAAAACCACACCACTGGACATGTGGTTGTACATCCCGTTGGATTGTAACATTTGGGGATTTTGGAGGATTTCTTGTATGTAAGGGGTGTTGTTTCATCTTAAATGAAGCCATGTAAATCAGGGTGAAGATTACTGGTTCCACCTTTCGTGAACTGGGATTGTATCACCAGAGGATGTTTCGAGCCTCGACCCGAGGAGTACATCACCAGAAATGCCAAAGACGCGTGGTCTTCAGAGAAGATTCTAACAGTTCTGGCCGGCTCCATGCTCGCCATCTACTCAGTGAAACTTGGACAGTACTTCAGGGTTGCTTGGGTGGCTCAGGTTGCTCGGAAGTGTTGGTAAATAATGGCTAATGACTGGGAGACGAGTGATTTTACTCCCGTATTTATCCAATTTACCCCCCTTGTAACTGCAGTGTTGGGAGCAACCCTGTAATTTGTGCAGTGGAGGGAGAGTCGAAATGCGAGATGGGTAGAAAGGTCAAGATGTTGAGGCCTTTCCAAGAGGGAATGTGTGCATTGGATATGAGACTCCAACATTTGAAATGATGGTGAAATGATCGAATATGACCGAATTATATATATATATATACACATATTACTTGTGGCAGTTGTAGCTTGTATCATAGATGTCATTATATGTGTATATATATATCATATGATTATGATTATGTATACCTTATGTATATATATATATTATCAATGGAACGTCATTTCATTTCAGATTATATTTTTTACTTTGGCCGCCCATTGAAGAACATTCCTAACTTCTATAAAATCCGGAACTGTTTTGGAAATCCCCTGGGTTTGGAGATTCCCCAAAAAAACACATGATGATCAATTGATGATCGGGATATACTATACTGGGACTGGAACAGACTGGTATCATTATGCATCATTTATTTCTGGCAGGAGCCCAGAGGTAGTTTGCAGTGCATTTGTGAGTATTGTCAAAGATTTGCCATGGACACTTTGATTCCGTATCAGATTGTGTGTGTGTGTGGTTTTTGTTTTTTTGGGTACCTTATTTCAAGACGTTGTCAATAGGTTATTGAGGGATGTCGTTGATGTTTCAGCAGGAGTACCCTGTAGTGATGTTCTTGATCCTTAACGGTGCTGGGTTACAAACCAACCATCCCAAAGTCCGATTGTTTTGCAGAGAAGTAATCCGTCCGCGAGACACGGAAACCCTGGTGTCGCATTGACTTTGATTTTTATTTGGACCCAAGATGGGCGTGTCTGAAAATAAGGTAATTATACTCCCCAACGCCAAGTTCAATTGGGAAATGATGATGAATCATCAAAAATTGAGGCATATGGAATCCATATGGAACTGTTATTTTTGCCCGGGAGGGGAGTAGTCACTCTGTTGACATCCCATTCACCCGCATGATGTTCAGCGCGAGGAAACTGCTGCATGAGTGGTGGACAGAGTCAGATGAAAACGATGGCGAGGATGTGGAACAGGGGAAGCTTGGATAGGAATCCCATGGATTGCTGCTAATATAATATATATATATACATAACATGATATATATATATATAATAATAATAATATGATATATAACCCATCTATAATCATTTAGATATATATATATAGTATGATATATAATATGATATATGTATATGTGTGTGTGTGTTATATCAGGTGAATGCATCCTGTCCTAGAAAAGATTTGTTTCTCTGGATTTTGTGTGAAACGATGGCCCAACTATGAAGGAAAAAATCGTGGGTTGAGGATATTTACTCTGGGATTCTGAAGGTTTCCTGAGAAGTCTCCTCACCTTGTGATATTGTGAGGGTTTTCTCAGCATCACATCACACATCAAAATTTTTGGTTGCTGGTAGTGAATAGCATAGGACATTCCTATGGCCTATTTTGGATCCCATTTTGGATTCCCATTTAAAAATCATAAGCCCATAGGAATCCAAAATGGGATCCAACATGAAAGGTTGATAACTCACGGTGTTCGGCATGGAGATTCTGCATGAAACCCTAGTGTTTTAAAGGTTTGAGTTGTCAGAAACCTCTGTGTTATGTTGATCTATTTTGATCTGTTTGGGACATTTGGCTGAGGATTGAGATTGCCACAAGATTTTTGGGCGACATACAGATTTGGTTTGAGCCATCCGAGGGACATGTGCATAACTCATACAAATTGGAATATGCCAGATAAAGATAAAAAGGCCCAAAAGAAGTAGAAGGGGTTTCTATAATGATTTGGATAGAAATAAATGTTCACATTTTCCCAATGGAAACAGGAATTTGCTCAATGGAATTCAGGATCTCACAGATTTCAGAGCCACCAGCGATCCGCTACAGGAACTATGCAAAGGTGAGTCCTGACACAGTTGACACAGACTTGGAGGACGGCGAGATGACCCCCATGTATCGGAAACCTGAGCAGCTGAGCGGCGGTGGATCCCCCATAAGAATTCAACGAAAAGAATACCTCCCGTCATATCCCTCTGTGGTAAACCCAGTCGAAAACCAGCCCAAAAACCAAAGTTGTGGGGATTGAAACCATTCCCAGTCATGGTAAGTTTATGGCATTGGGTTTACCACATTATTCCAATTCTCCATGTTCATCACCCCTTTTTTATGACTATTAACCATTATTCATCATACAGTAATGTTTATAGAAATCCCGTTAAGATCTATTCAGAATAACGGTGATATAACGGCTTGAAATATTTTGAAATACTATGACACACTAACATGAAAGCCTAAAAAAATAATGGGATAAACGCTATCAACTGGTGCAGGATTTCGCTGGCCCATCCACCATCCACCGGTTACTCCTGATGCACCAAGGCATGGAGACTCGACCAACGAGATTGCGCCTTGGCAATGGGGATATGTGTCCCTGCATGGTGATGGGGACATGAGCTGCAAATGAAGTCATGGCAATTTACTATGGGTAAATCCACTATAAAACGACTGGGCCATGTTCAATAGCTATGTCACTTTAATTACCAGAGGGTAATTCTAAGCTGGTTTGAGTTTTCTGAACGATCAGTTGGATGTTTGCAGTCGAGACCATTGACTGTGACTTGTTTAACAAGCTACAGGACTTTTCACAGGGAAACATGCACGAATTCATGTCAATTCTTTTGACCATGGATTGCTTTCGGCTGGCACATGCACTGGTCCTTAACTGGTGCTGCATCTCGAGCTCCCCACAAACTCGGTTACAGAAGGGACATCCCACGCTGCATGGCTTGCCCAGGATATTCAGAGCAAAGCTGCATCTCAAAAGGAGTCTTCTGCGAGAGTACAAATCAGTGGTGGCGAACGCATCCAGATTTGGTGTTTGCCCGGTGCTTCATAGTAGATACTGTTTATTTTAACAAACATGTATTGCATATCAGTAACCGTCAAGCACATGAATTCAAGCGTTGCAACGCGTTTCTGTAAGGGGTCTGGCCCAGTCTGGCTACAGGTTCCTACTGTGCTTGCGAAATAGTTTCTTGATGGTGGCCATTGCATGAGAGGATGGATGATGATAGATCATGGTTTTGGACCAAAAATGATTCCTTTCAACATGGTATGTTTGTGGATGGGTTGAAATTGAAGTGCCTTTTCCTCCCAGGTTTCAATCCTTTGGGCCTTTGAAAAATCTAGCGGTGCCTGGCAGATTTGTTCAGGGATTGCTCCAAAGCTGATATCGCCTATGGTTATGACTAACGGTTAGCCATGGTAGAGCCATGGCCCATAAAAATAGATGGTTTACCGTTCTTAAAGATGGTGGATCTTTCCATGGCTATGTTCAATAACCAGATGGTATATAGCATATAGTATTGTCTCATGTTGCCAAAATCTCCGAACGGTGAGAAATCTCCACCTACTTTCTAAGCATGGAACCTCTCTTTTTTTTCCCTACATCAATTGGAGGTTTCCTAAAATATGGGTACCTCCAAATCATCCATGAAAATAGATGGGATTTTCGATGAAATAAATCCTCCAGCGATAAAGGGCTACCCCCATTTTATGGAAACCCCCAGTTGTGATCCAGGAGAGTGCTCAGACACAGACGCTCTTTGTCATTGCCTTCATCGGTTCATTGGATGATCTCACTCTCTTCGTTCCGATGCTGGTGGGCAAAGGGTGCCTCACCATGACCAGGGCGGGCACCGGGGGAGCAACTGGGAAGCTTCACCAGATGTTGTTGTCATGTGCAATAGATATATATATATATATCTTAATGTATAATATTATATATATATATATATATTTACATTCAAATATATATATATATATATATGTATAACCTTGTCCAGCCTTGTGTGTGCCCTTTGTTGCTCAGAAAGGTTGAACTTCACTTCTCAATTTTTCATTTTTGAGCGAGACAAGGTCTTGTTTTTACAGAGGCTTGCTCTTGGGACGCAACCTTTAACGCTCTTGAAAACTGTTGTCAAAGTGGTTACTGACTCAGATTCCCGATTAATTTTGAGGGTCATACCAACTGGTTGGTACTTGCTGCCAGTATTTGAGGTTTGATTTTGCTCAGCTCCTCATTGGGGCTTTGACAGCAGCTAGCCTGATTGTGCCTTGGCATCGCCTTGAAGCTTCAACATTGGGTGTGACTGAAAATGGTGCTGCTGGGATGCCCCATGCCCTCATTTGGATGGCGACCGAATCTGGGAAATTTGATGATTAATGAGTAACCACTGGTTTTGAGGTATACCACTTTGCAAATCCATTTACTTTCAGTTTTTCTGGCCATGGACAGATACCTCTGCCTAAACCTGTGCAGGTCACCATATGCCTCTTCGTGGGTTTGTGCCAACCAGTGGCAGACTGCATCTCCAGAGTTCCATTGTTCGCGATTGTTGCCACTTGTCTTGTTCCGCTGAGGAAAACCATCACAGATCAGGGCCATCCTTTCTTTTGACCTTTGGAGTCCCTAATTCTCACATCGATCCTGGTTCGATTACCGCAGTATCCGCAGTCGTGAATGGCCCAGGTTGGCTTTGCTACGCTGCTGTTGGCCAAGCACCATGGCAAAATACACCACGAAATTGGAAACCCGCAGGGATGTAAGTTTTCTCATGACGGTCACTTAATTTTTGGGGGCTGAATATGGCTGAAATCATTGTGACATTTTTGACGAGGGCCAACATATTGTGTGAGTGTCTCTTTGCGGATTCTTTGAGTGTTTTTGTTCTTTCCACGAACTTTGTGATGTTCCCCAAGATTGTGATAGCAAGAGTCGTTCATGGTATGTCTGAAAATGGCAAACAAAATGACAAATTTACGAGTCAGAAAAACACCTGGCCAACTGCGTTGAACTTATTTAGCCTAAGCCAATCAATCCCATTCCTTTCACCCAACTGTCGGATCAAGGTCATTTACCATGGACTAGGCGAGAAGTGAGTAGCTCTGGACATCCATGGGTTTCTGCAAAAACCAATGAAACCGCCAAAATGTTTATTGGCCAATACAAACACGATCTCACCACAGGTATACATGCCGATTTTCAATTTTTTGTGAGTTTGGGTATGTTGGCTGCAGATATGGCAAAGGAGGACGATTGGGTCGGCTCATGCAGTGTCTTATACCGTTGTTGTAGATTTGGAGTATGAGTGGGTGCAGCCAAATTAGACACACGTCAGCCATTAAATGAGTCTCAGCAAAACAGATTATTTTTTGGTACAGTCCTGTGTTTGATCTGAGAAGATAAGCCGCACATAGCCGAAGCACATGTTTTGACTCCTTCTTCGGGAAAGGGGTGTCCGATTGCGTGAGGATGGGCAGTTGTGGCTTCCCATGGACTGCTTCTCTTTGACAGTCAGTGTAATTGTAGGGGATCATAGCATATCACAGCCTACTAATTCTGAGAGATACCTCAGTTGCACGCGGCAGTGAACATGTGCCAAAAAATGCATATTCTTTATGATTCTCTCTTCGGCTCCCAGTATCAGCACCAACGCAAGAATCTGTTCATCAATCAGCTCATGACATCCCAAAAATTGCTTGGCATCATCATGTCATCAGTCAAAATGCTTGGACATCAAAGAGATGCATGGGGGAGCTTCTATAGACATTCATAGTGCTTTGAAGCCAGCGGTGCTCGCTTGCTACCATGTCTCAAGGTTTCCGCAAAAGGTCTGGGTTTCAGCTTCGCATCAAAAATTCCCAGATCATCCCGTGATCATCCACATGCCTCACGAGGGGGGTTGTGTCAAACTTGTTTGGAAAGTTGAATCATTGGATAGATATATATAGTTTAGTTGCTTTATGTCCGTTTTTTGATGTTTTTTGCAGTTAAACCGGTTATCACCTTGCCGGCTGAGACCGCTGAGACATCCCCTTCTTTCCGCCTGGGGTCTCACTTGCTGGTTGCCGCTGTGCCCTTAAACGGGGCCCCAGTGTTTGCCACAGTGCACCCGACGCTGACAAAGTGCCCTAGACGGGGCTCAAAACTCCAAGGACAACTTTGGAAGTCCTGAGATTGACTAATGACATGTGTGAAGTCCCCGAACATGTGTTATTGAATATCCTTTAAAGAGACAACCCATTTTTTCATGCGGGGTTGAGACAGGTTCCAATTTTTCAAGACCAGCAACCGGGATTTGATCTTTTGGAGTTTATCAAGAACCTATTGAATCTTGCGCCCAACGTTACTGTCCATGCCGCTCTGCGGTGTGTCTTTTGCTGGACCTAGAGCCAGTCCTTGGAGCTGTCAGGGAGGATCCAGCTTGAATGGAGAGGGATTGTGAGACTGCTTTTGATGACACAAGAATGGAATCCCTTTAGATGCCAATGCCAAGTGTTTTTTAAGGAAAGCACAAAAATTATGATTATGATATGTGATTTGAATGATGATCCTGTCTATACAGTCTTTGTAATCAAGCCGTTCATAAACTTGCGTAGAGCTTGATTGCATAATTGGAAGATCAGATTTTGACCATCTCCAGTTGCCCATTTGGATCCTCAGTTCAAATACCATCAGGCGGCTGGGCAGTTTTCGTATCATCAGCCTGGCTCACCAGAGACTTTGGGAATGCCAACTTTGGGTGGCCATGGCATCTCAATGCATCCATAGATCCATAGCAAAGTAGAAAAAGTCTCCCTTCCGCGCGCCGAGAGCGATTTGGAGATGTTTGGAGATGTTTGGAGATGTTTGGAATATGTTGGAAGAAAACCATGATCCTTTGATATCCTTTGTAATTTTGATGCTCTATCTCTACTATGGGCGATGTCATAGGCTTGAACGTTGCTCTTTCGAGTAGTGAGTGGAGGTGTGTTTGTAGAATACGTTGCAAAAAAGAATCAGCAGGTGAAGGGCCCTGCGACATACAGGCATAGCTGATAAGAATATGGTAGCCTTAGCTGCAAGCATCATCACTCAGCGGCATCTCATGGTATCTCCCAAAAAAAATCCTAAAATTATGTTATTGCCTTATATAATAAATATAAAATAATAATTTAATTTAGATATTGTTAAATATATAATGATATTAAATATATGATATAATTTATAATTAAAATGTATTTTAAGAAAATACATATAATTAGATATAATTATTGAATATATATATATATAATTATATATATATGTGAAGTGCACTCCATGCACTAGGGGCTTTCAAGTGTTCCCAAAAACGGAGACGGTGTGTCCCAAAAGCGGAGCTTCACAAAACCGGTGGTTGATTTTCCCGGGGTCAGTGGCAATTTCCCATAATCGGTTGTTTTGTTTTCCCAAAATTGGCGGTTAATTTTCCCAAAATCGGTGGCAGATTTCCCCCAAAATCGGTGGCGGATTTGCCCAAAGTCGGTGGCTGATTTGCCCAAAGTCTGTGGGCGGGCGGCAGACGTTCGCCGCAAGATCCAGGTGGGAGTTTCGTTGTCTAGTCGTTACAACAGTTCTTTAATAACCTGTGGGTAGCAACATCTTGTTCTATGCTGTTTTTAAGCCTCGCCCCATGCCGAGTATGGTGGAATCAACAGTGGAAAATTTCGAAATGTTTTTATGAACCGCAGGCCAATTTGGACCAGAAGGACTGCGGCTGAATCAGAGAGATTCAGCTCTCAGATGTCACATGCAGCAACCTCTCCCAACAACTTGGGCCCCAGTTTTTTTCCACAAAATGCTGCACAGGACATGAAGATTTCTGAACTTGAGCGCGAATTGAAGCAAAGTCAGATGAAGCCAGGAATTTAAATGTGCGACAGGCGCGACCGATCAGATTTTGCATTTCAGAATCTTGGATCACTTGGCAGGTTTGAAAACCTCACTGCTGGCTGTTGGAGGTCTTTCCAAAAATTTACATCACCGTGACTCACAAACGTATTTATTTACATTCATTTAATTTCACATACCATCTTATGCCGTGCATGCCGGCACAAAATTGCCATCTCTGAAGTCTCCAGCTCCACAGCCCCTGCAGAGTTGCTCCTTGAGCGCATGGAAAAGCAGATGGACGACACTCCTGTGACCTGAGGCCAGGAGTCTGCTGGGGTTTATACATTTCCTGAGGTCTAAGCGGATCAAAACATATCAAAATACATTCGGGTATGCACTCGTGACGATAATGCTGGACGATGGCAGACTTCAGGGGACGCAGCCAGCCACCATCCATATGAAACCCTGATGGTTATCTGAGGATAACGATCCCTCAGCTGGGTTTGCAGAAATGTATGCACCCTTGAACTTTGGACCATTTCCCAAATGATTATACACATATTTGAAGGACAACTTGAAATCGGGACAGCTGCTTCCATACATACTTTTGTGACCTTGTTTTTTTGCTCTAGCTTTTTGGGTGACTCACAATTCAACATGGGAGAGTTTGGAGTTTTTGTGGTTTTGTGACTGGATCCCTCTTTTTAAGTGAATGGATATCGTAATGGGAGCATCAGCACAACCAAGGACACTGTATTGTACCTCGCCAGAGGAATGATGTAAGTTTCTCTCATAGTATCGTAAGATGAACTATCCATGAAGAATCCTGTGTAGAACGGTTTGAATTCGAGAGAAAAAAGGTTGTCATCCGTGGTAGCGGCCATTTCGATAAGTTTCTGCTATGCCATTTGTTTGATTCTATACCTTTTCAGGTGGGTTTCCAATGCCTGCAAACAACCTTTGAATTTGTTGAATTCATTTTTTTGGGAATGCTTCGGGAGGTTCCCAAAATCCAACATAATCCAACCCCCCGGCGGTTGCAGTTTAAGCAGAAGCACTCAGATGATGGGTTTGCGCTGGGAAATGCAACGGCACTTGCATATAGATGATACAAACGATTTAAACCTTGGCTTGGCGATGTTGGTTGATGTTGGTTGATTTGATTATAAGAACATAATGTCCTGCTGAAAGATCAGCCATGTGAAATTTGGCCACTTTCCGAACCAAGGCGAACATGAAGCCTGAGAATTTACTCAGAAAGATGCTTTGTCGCAGGCGTAAAGGTTGTCGTAGGATTTTACTTTGTGACTGACAACCTTTACGCCTGCGACAAAGCGCGTCGAAATGTGTCACTGAGCTCCCTTGGGCGAAAAAGGAGATTGGATTGGCTTTGGACTTTGCGATAAGTTTTGTTGATGTAGATGCAGATCATGTTGAAAACCTGCTGAATTGTTCGGAGCCTCATGTCAAGTAGGAAAAGCACAAGGTTTCTGTTGCGTCCGAAGTGGGGGCGCAGCGACACTGCAAATTCAGTTTAAACGCCAAAGGTTTGGCACGGAATCAATATGCAATGGGTGTGAATTGGGGTTTATACCACACAAACCCGGATTTTGACTTGTTAATCTATGGGATATTATATGGAGGTATAATGGGAACAGTTTTAGGATGATTTCAGGGTTTTGACCACCAATAGATGGGGATCTGGTTGATAGGGTTGGGTAATCATTCTTTTGATTTCGATGCTTTAATATGGGCGATGTCATAGGCTTGAACGTTGCCGTTTAAGCGGTGGGGGGCGTGGCTTGCTGACAGTTGCGTTTGTGGTGTACGTTGCGCAAGACACAACAAAACAACTACCTTATTTGCTGCAAAACAAAACTGCTCAGGTATGTCGCTAAGGTCGAGATGATCAGCCTGATGTTTTTGATTGGTTTAATATGGTTTAATATGATTTAATAATGAATACTGACCAGTTATTTGGCAGTCTAAGTGGGATGACCATCTCCACTACAAGGTCAAAACTGACAATGTCGCATCTCCGTAGGTGCAATAGATCCTTGCGTGGCCCATTTGTGTCTAGTTGGCTCAAACCGCATCAGAGCGGGGTCAGCTTGGCCATGGTACTGAACTCAGGGCCTGTCAAGTCAAGTCCCATTTTGTGGGTTGTAGTGGTCCCCGGATGTGTGGATTTGCACAACCCTCTTGGGGAAATAGTAAAACAAAATATTTTTTTTGATTTTTGAGCAAACTGGGTAACCACTTAAAGTATTGGAAAACTCGTATGCACTTTGGAATCAGATGAGAATAAAATCAAGGTGTCATAGGCATAAGGACTATTTTGATCTCTCAGCGTCCAAGCCTTCTATCTCGATTTTGAATTTGTCCTACCAATTTTGAAAGGCAGTTGGGTCTGGACTCTGTCGCTCCCAAGGCAGGGTGTACTGCATTCATTTCGCTTGGCGCGCAGCCGGAACCTTGAGTTGCGGGAGGTCTGTCCACGAGCTGCTGGTCAACAGAAACAACCAACGAAAGAGGGTTGTTTTAACAAGGAATGATGTGGTTCCAACTCACAAGACATAGTGTTTTACCAACATAACTAGGTCCCAACAAACCTGTTCTTTTGGGTGCCTGCACTGCTGTCTGCCTTGCACCGTGCAGCTTCACGCCGTTCGCATGTTCTTTTGGATCTTTTGGGTCCCAAGTTATGGGATGTGGTCCTTTGGGATCGTTTGACAATGTTCATGCTTGTTGCGAGGTCACGTCTCTTCTCCCTTATCGTGGCTCTGCAAATCTCTTATGTATCTTATGTTCAGAATGGTGTTGAGGAAACACATGGATTCACCAACAGAGATGACACATTTTCAGCCGGAAACATGACTTTGTTGATAACTAGGATACTCCCCAAAAAAATCATTCAAATGGGACACATGATGATAGACCATTTCATTTCGGGGTAAGAAAATCGCATCCCAGTGTTTTTGCTGAGTCCTACCAGCTTGTGGCCTGTGCCGGCAGTGGGTTCGCGGCCACGGTTGGAACCGCTGCGGAGTGAAGTTCGGGAGGTGCTGCGTTTGGGTTCTGTGGAAGAGTAGGGAGAAATGGCCAGAAATGGTTCAGGCAAAAACTGTTGATAATTTATGCTAATTTGATAACTCCCTATGTCATTCAAATGTATGGACTTTGCCATTTGATTCCAAGCATGATTCAATCTGTGTCTCTTTGATAACCCATTTTTCAAACATGCCTAGCCTAGTCAAGTGGTGGTCTAGGTAGGTGCCTTTCTGACAGGGACTATCAGCATGGTGTTCTCCTAGAATTCCAAGCCATGCAACCAAACTTCCAGGAATCGTTGGAATAGGAACATTTTTCCAGTTTCATAGAACCAGACAGGAGTTTCAAACATGTTGGAACTGGTGAACTATGTTTTTTCCTCCTTGCTGCTCGATTTATCATGTTTTATCTGGGTTTGGGGTAGTCCACTACTAACTTAGCTAAAGGGACTTCGGAGGAAACATATGAGAGATTTACTTTTATTATCTTTTATTATCTTGTTTTCTGTTTTTGACTCCTCAGTCTTACTGATTATGTATGTGGTTTCAACGATTTGATTGGGGAAATCCCACAAAATCCCATGAAATCCCAATGTTCTGCTGGTTGTAAGAGAACCTTTTCTGCACTGGTTGGGTCGCCATCAGCAAGCTGAAAACCTGGCTGACTTTGCACCTAGTAGGTCACCGCGGTGCAAAGTTCATGTCCTGCTGTGCTGGCGGCGGTGGCAGCTGCACCTTGGTAACGGCAGACATTTTTTTGGGATACCCTCAAAAAGGAGCATAAGGTGAGGCGAAAGAAATGGCCACATCATTCCAACATTCTACCAACATGAATAATTATAGATAATATAGGGCTGACATGCTGGGCCTACAGGTGGTGACAAGTTTTTGTTTCTTTCCCAGTTCATCCCAGTCTTATGCACAAAAACTATTTGAACAGTTTTACAGCAACATCTTTTGGATGGGTGCATCAACCACCAGGAAGATATACCAATCTTAATTTATTCAAAGCCATCAAATCATGATATTGAAAACATGTTATTCCTGGGCAGGTGTTACTAGTAATAGTATGTTTTTCTTCCTGCAATGGGTGCCACCATGTGCCACGAAACTCTTCGTTGGATCCATTGGACTCCCAAGGTCCGTGTGGCGCGACGCAAGGACCGGTCACGTCCTTTGGCACTGCGGGCCACTACTGTGGAGGCGCCACAGTGTAGCGGGCGGTAAGTCTGCTGGACTCCAACTGCGGCCAGAACTGACATATTTTGCATAGATAAGCAATGATAAGCATATTTCATATCGATATTATTGTTGGAGTTTTTTTTTGGTGTTTTTCTTGCAGAAGAAAGTCTTGCGTTTACGATGAAATTGACTTATGTTGAGGATATTGGATGCTGATTCTTCTTTGTGTCCTTCTCTGGGTTTGAAACTGACAACCTGCGTCAGCATCAGCATTGGGGTGTGGGCAACCACCCTTATCAGGAAAAGTATTCATAGGGGTTCCTGTGGTGGCCAAAACTTCATCCAGCAAGACATCAGAGGTATCACAATTGCTTGCCAACTTGATTTGATGTGACTGACCATGGAGGCAGAATCCACTACTGGCCTTGCACCGTGGGAGATTGAAGAGGATCGCTTGAAGTTGCTGGAATTGCGGGCAGCGTGAAGCAGTTTGATGAGATTATGTCGCTATTTGATCTATACTGATACAGGTTTTATGATCAACTATCCCCATTCATATCCCATTCATCTTCCAATTTTCAGAATGTTCATGGTCAAATAAACTAATGACTAAAAACTAATGTAACTTCACATTGGTTTGTAAACACCTTCACGGTCACGGTTTCAATCTGTTCCCATTGGTTCCAGGAGACCGAAGACGAGCGGCAGGCTCGCTATGCCCGAGAGGCAGACGAAATGAAACTGAAGTGGGACGCGAGGTGCAGGGCTCAGTGGCGGCGACCACTGGGGCCACTGGGGGTTGGGTCATTGAGTGTGCTGCACCAAAGAGGTAATCACAAAAACAGTCAATTTGCTACTAAAGTTACTAAAGCACCTGACCCGCAATCATATCATCCATGCTGAGTTTTATACTCTGGATTGAAGCACCTTTTTTCCCCGATAGTGGCTATACTGGCTTTGCGTAGTGTTTGTTTCTTGATGCTGCTGATATTTTGGGTATGCATCAAAATATAGGATGTTTATTTGACCCACACACCCCCCTGGCTGGTCACGGTCCAAATAAAGTATTTTTTCAACCATCCGTTTTTTGGGGCTGGAGCCTAGCCGTCCAAAAAGTCCAGGCACCTTTTGGATGCACCGTGCGCAACCCTGTGCAACGTGCCTTCTGCAGGCGCTTAGAGGAGAAACAATCCGCACAAAGGCGCCAGGCTTGGGCGCAGAAGGAGCAGGAGCGTGTCCCTCGCCCTGAAGTTCAGCACATTTCAGGGTTTGACAGATCAGTGCATTCATGTCCACAACAAAAAATCAATCCTCAAATGATTTTGTCTATGGATGTCTATGGATGTCTATGGTTTTCCATGGCTGGTTGGAATATTTTGGAACAGAGCTGCTAAAACGAGGCTTCGTTGTATGGCCCACGGGATCCCATCATGGAGGCCTATGAGGTGCCCTGTCCAAATGGTCAGTGGTCAATAAGTCGGCCCGGAACAGATTTTGGTCCATGGTGTAGCCATGGAAAACAGCCCATCGATGATTTACATTGATTTACCATGATGTACCCCCCAAAAAATGTGATTCATTGTACCAAAGCAAACTGTTGGATTCCCAGAGGGTATACCTACTAAAGTTGTGCAAAAGAATTATGTGGTTTTTCTTTTGCCTCGGATCTTGACTAAAATGACCTTGGCAGGCAAGAATTTACGAGGAGGCCAGAGTCATAGAAGTTCGGCGACGGCAGCGAGAAGTCTACGAGCGCATCAAGGTCTGGGAATGAAAGCCCTTCAAAGTCAGTTTTTTTTCAGATTATCCTGGCCCTTCCAAAAGCCCTTCCTAGCAGGGCGGTTGCCTAAAAGCCCTTCCTAGAAGGGCGGTTTGCCTAAAAGCTGCAGTTTGCACTATTAATGCCAACCTTTTTATGCAGCGTACGTGTAAGCACATTTTATGTGACACGGACCACCCTCTCGAAGTTATGAGACAGAATGAGACAGAACGCAAGTCACTAGATGATATCAAATTTTCTCTACATGGTGACTCAATTCTGAAAGGGCTGTTGCCTACAAGGGCTGTTACTTGGAGAGGCCGTTTGTGACTGTCCAGATTATACGTTATACTTGATTTGGGTCAATTTGTTCATGCGGAAAGGTTTTGGAAGACAAGAGGTGTTGGATGTCTGCAATTTTGGGATATGTTTCTCTCTTTCTATCTCTTTCTTGCTTTAATCATTAATATAATATAGTCTTAGAAAGTTATAGATGTGTTTCTTCTATCCCAGTGCTTGTAGCGAGGCGCACAAAGAAGGCAAAGCGCTGCCTCCAAAAGGCACGCCCTACGTCTGGAGCTTGGAGAGTGGGAGGCATCATGGCATCCAGGGCATTCAGGGCATCAGCTATGCTTGGCAATTACAGAGTCACAAGTTTTTTTGAAGTTTTTCTTTCCGAATCTATCTGAATCCGTCATACGTCCCTGACAAACCTTACGAGGAGCCGACGTGGAGCCGAATAGAATAATTAATCGAAGGAAGTTTAGTTTAGAAGTCAAACTTCCGACAATATGGACAGATGGAAAAGCAGAGGTGGGAAGAGTCAGAGAAGAGAAGAGAAGAGAAGGGAAGGGAAGGGAAGGGAAGAGAAGAGAAGAGAAGAGAAGAAGAGAGATCAGGGAAGAGAAAGAGTCAGAAGAAAGAAGGTGCAGGTGCGCCAAAAGGTAGATAGGTCGCTTCACTGTGCCAATGATTTGTGGCTCCGGAGGGTCGAAAAGTAGGCTCGCTAAAGCGGCGGGTGCGGAGACATCTGGTCAGATGAGAGATGAAAAATTGAGCGCCGTTGTGGCACGAAGCACATTTCGAAGTCAAAATGTACAAAGCACAACATGTTGAGAGCACTTTTGGAAGTTGACATGTTCAAAAAGTGTACGCGGTTGGTGGCGCGAAGCACGTTTCAACATGTTAAAAGATGTTAAAAGCACCACATGCTCAGACCACTTTTGAAGGTTCAGATGTGGTTTTGTGTGGCAGGCGCAAGGGATTCAGCACCTTGCCAAAAGTGAGCAAAACGTGAGGGGCTAGTAGCATTTCAAAAATGATGGCAGGCGTGGGACCTTTGAAGAGGATCTGGAAAGATGCATTTTCCGTGGCAGGCCCAATACAAGAGACATGTTCATCAGAGATGCTAGGAGGTCAGGGAGCTGCTTTCCCGAGAAGGGTTGCATTTTGGAGCATGAGATCTTCAGGTTTGCTAAGATGATTTTGCGTGACAGGTGCAGCACTTCGTATGACCTGGCATCACTTTTTTGTGGCAGGCGACATATTTTAGACAGATGGAGTGGAAAAATCGCAAAACGCATTGGTACGAGGCGGTCAGCCCTGCACTCAATTTTCCATTCTTTAAAGGAAGTCTCGCAGAATTGTTTCGTTTTTGACGTTATCAATTTCAAGTAGAGGAAGTCTCGCAGCATAGCTTCGTTTTCAAGCTTGCAGACAGACAGATAGATGGTAAAAAAACTACGACTGCCACTGCCACTACGCTACAACAACAACTGCGGGCACAACTACAACTACATTACGCGACGCTAGGCCAACTTCAGTACACTACATTACAATACATTACAACTACAACGACAACTACAACTACAACTACAACAACCACTACTACCACTACTCACCTCTCCTATAGGTTTCCTCCTAAAGGCTTCCTATTTTTGAAGTTTCCGCCATCGCCTTGTGCAGCACTACTGGCACGTAAATCGAAGTGCATGCCCCAAGATAGCTGGCTATTGGACTCACCGTTTGTGCGCATGAGGATCCATTAAGTTATCATTGATGTTAATTTCAGGAGTGGTACATCCCATTTCCCCTTTCCGATCTTTCCGGTTGCAGTTTCTATGCCAAACTGAGGTGACTTTAAAGGCTTCCCCAACTGAACCGGTGAAACCAGAGGAGTTCGATATCTCTGGGCACTACAAACCAGAGGAGGTGGGATCAACAGACCAGGAAGCATACAGGGCGGATAGAATTGCAGATGTATGGGAGAGACCAACTTGGTTTCATTTTTCATGGGTTTTGCATGAAGTTTTTACCCCATGCGATTTGAGACGTACCCAGTTTTGAGCCGTGCCCATGTCGCCTGAGATTTTTTGGGATTACATGGGGTGTAGTTGTAACTGGGTTAACTCGTATAAGGGATGAGGGATACTCCAACGGCCAGCAGTTGCAGGATTTAGAGGCGAAAAAGTACAAGGCCCCGGAATCTTATGCTGCTTGGCCGAGTTCGTGTCCTCAAAATAGGTTCTTTTGACCACCTCAAATCGGCAATGTTGTTTCAATTCCACGTATTTCCATGCGAGTTTTTGGGCCATATTCGTTGAAAAAATATTGGATGATGAGCACCTCAACTGGTACATGATTGATCACCATGTGGTCCCAGCTCAAGTGCAAATGCAAGTCGACAAACTCATCAATCCGGATTTCCCAGCTGCACCAATTACCAAGTGGCATGTTTCAAAATGAGCCCTCCAAGATGACCAGTTTCAGACGAAGACAGCTGGGACATCCAAGTCCTGGCCCAAACATATGACAACCCAGGTGTCGCCCTCTGGCAGTGCTCCACCACCCCGACATAAGCGTGGTGCTCCGCGTGCGGTGCCAACCCCAATTAGGGTTACAGGTTGATGGAAGTTTGGGTTACAGAAAAACCATGCAGGATCTCGGTTTTTCCATAGTATTGGACACCCGAGTTTGTTTGTTTTCTGTAGCTATGCATTGATTAACCTCAGGTAACCTCTTGGGGGTGGGACAGGTTTGGCCAGGAAAGACTGCTGATTGCCTGCATGGAAACAATTCGTGCAAACACGTCCATGGCTCGCAAATGGATTGGAGCGGCTTGCACTTTTTTGTTGCTAAAGCCGCTTGTTTGAGGGTCATTTTCATCGAACATCAGGTGGTGTACCACGGAGCAACCAAAAATCGTTTCGGCGATGAACCTAGAAAAAGAGGATCACCATATGCATCATCCTCCATTTGTTGACGGGAACGATACCTGGCGAATATCTCTGGAATCCAGGATACCATGGATACCATGTCCAAAGGGGCCCCTGGAATTCCAGTGCAGTCAGTGTTGCCATCATCAGGTCATCCAGGTACTTATACAATAATAATCAATAATATATAATACAGTATTGGTTAACTCTCATGAGAACCTATCAGGGTCGTCTCCAACTTCACTTGGTTATGGTTCAAACATGTTCAAAGCTCAGGCAGGTGAACATTCATCCGTTCATCCCTCCAAAATAGATGGATAATACTTGAATTGGCCCAACAAAAAAACTGCACTCCGTCTTCTTACCAGACTGACTATGGTGGTCCAACATTTTTAAACCCAAGTAAGATTATGGAGACAAAATGATATAAAGATATTTTCCAGAGTAATATAGAGTAATATATGCAGGAAGGCTTCGGTTCGTTTAGGTTCGTTTCGGTTCGTGGAAACCTCAAACACGGGCGGTTCGGTTCATCCGTGTGCCGGTTCGTTTCGGTTCGTGTGACATGGCGGTTCGGTTCGGTTCGTGTTGTGTAGTGTTGCAGGACGAGAGGTCTTTGACAGAATGGGTGTGGATGAATATCAAATAGTAATGTTATGTTGCAGCAGAGGGATTTTGTTTTTGAATGTTTGAAACTGATGGTGGGGCCGAGTGTTTGCAGCATCTAAGTAAGCAGTGTCCAAAACCACGGTTTGTTGATGACTAAAGTGCTTATGCTGTTTCTTGGATTGGGGATAATGATTATCATCATCAACTATTAGAATTCTTACATCTAACCAGTTTACAGTGAAATTGACAGATCCATTGCCAACGGCATTTTCATTGCGCGAAAATCACTTTCAGCTGTCGAAATCCAGCCGTGGCCGGCAGAGGTTCAATCAGCAGCCAAATGCCATTTTCATATGGCGAAAGTCGTTTTCAGGCATCGAAATTGAGGCAGTGCCTGCAAATCTCAAACATTAGCCAAACATCATTTTCATTGTGCGAAAATCAGTTCCGAGCATCGAAATCAACACACATCAGACAAGGACCAAAGCGAATTTTCGTGTTTTCCTTAACTATTAGGTGTTTTCCTTAACTTGATTTCCACTGCGCGAAAATCATTTTCGGAGTTGTTTTGGCAAAAAGAGGAAAAAAAGTAGTAGTAGTAGTAGTAGTAGTAGTAGTAGTAGTAGTAGTAGTAGTCGTAGTGGTAGTGGTAGTGGTAGTGGTAGTGGTAGTGGTAGTAGTAGTAGTAGTAGTAGTAGGAGTAGGAGTAGTAGTAGTAGTAGTAGCAGTAGTAGCAGCCAGCACTGATCATTTGCAATTCCTGCTGCACTTTGGCAGATTGTGTTGCGCAGGAATCCACTCATTACAGTTGATTCCTCTTTCCAATTTGATTTTCAAGTCGCGAAAATCATTTTCGGACCCCCCGGAAGCTGACAAAATTAATTTTGAGAATGTGGAACCGGTTCGGTTCCATTCGGTTTGCGTAAGAATACTTGGCGGTTCGGTTCGTGCCGGTTCTTAGCCGCCTGCCGGTTCCTTAACGGTTCGGTTCACGGTTTGTTTCCTAAGCCATACTGGGAACCGGTTCGGTTCCATTCGGTTTGCATAAGAATACTTGGCGGTTCGGTTCGTGCCGGTTCTTAGCCTGCCGGTTCCTGAACGGTTCGGTTCCCGGTTCACGGTTCGTTTCCTAAGCCATACTGTATATGAGTATATTGGTGTTGACCCACAATGGGTTTCGCACAACATGTACAACATGTACAACCCATCAAAGTCCATGGATTTTAACTCCCAGGCCTGGGAGGCTCAGCAATATGCTCCTCCTCGGCCCAATGCGCCTCCGCCCGGGAGCCCGGCGTGCTAAGAAGGGAGCCGGGAGTCGACGGCCGACCGGTATAGCCATAGAACGCAGATAGAGAATTCAGAATCATGGATGACATTTAGGTTAGATAGAGATTATGATAACATATGATAACCAGTTTGTGAATTCAATGAAATTTTTCAGAACAGACACAACAAGAGATAGATCATGACAGATAGATCAATAGTTTTCAGATTTCTCCCGTCTGCTTCCAGGGAGAGGTTGAGCCCCTGAGGCCGAAAGAGTGGCCAGAGCCTGGATCATTGCCAGCAGACACAGCCGTGCTCTCGAGGGTTACTGGATATCTGAAAATGAGGTACACCTTCATGGGAAAAATGATTTTTATGAAAGGTGATTGAAACCACTGGATTTAGGGGTGCTCTATTTTCAGACAAACCCAGATTAAGATCTATGAAACTTTACTGTGGTAGCATCACATGGTATTGGAATTATTGAACTAACATTTCTATGCGGGCAGCTGGTCCATGCTGGTTCGGAAGCATGGTTGTCACCTTTAAACCCTGGACATATATGTGGGATTAAGGCAAGAACCTGGTACTTCTCAACTAGTTGTTGACAACATTATTATAGTCACCCAACTATTTGATGGACTATCCATTATGTGTAAGGACACGAATTGATCAATGTTTGGTGGTGTCCAATACACCAGCAAAATCCAGCAAATATTACCCTGTCACACTGGCTGGTGGTTTCTACTGTATCGGGCAGTTTGCCTGCCACCAGCACCGTGCAGATACCGTGCACATAAGGTCCCGCCAGTACGGGCGAAGATCGAAGAAGAGCGGGCTGGGAACACAGCAGCTACAGTGCAGTGGGTGAGTTGGTTTCACCAATTGTTCCATGGTTCGAAAACCAGAAAATGTATGGGATGAGATGAATTATATGAAGCCATGCCATGTCTTGACCTGGAAGTCATTGGAAGTCTGTGTCGCTGAGGCCAACCGCAAGTCCCGGAGACAAAGAATGATGGAAGAGCAGGAACGCTTGGATCGCGGCGAGAGCCCCGCAGTGGAGGTTTGGGCCTTTGATGGCCTTTGTCTCGCTTGTTTTGCTTTCTGGAACAGGCCAACTTTATCCAACTTTGGTGAGTGAAATCACAACTCTGATATTTAGGACAGAGCCCAAAAGGCCGTATGCCATGGTGTTCTCAGGAAGAGGAGGATTTGGAAGATGAAGACTTGGAAGATGATGTCGAGGATGAAGAAGTCCAAGAGGATGTCCAAGAAGTCGCTGAAGAGTTGGAGGTGGGATGTGGTGTTCTGAGGTACACAGTCTCCAGTCACAATGTCCAATCATAGCCTTTTGCAGCAACTCTTCTAGGGGTTCGGTTTCAATAGCATTGCCATAGTTGTTGGAATCGGACGACAAATTTATGTAGCACCACTGGCAAGGTCTTTGGGCAGTTTTATGGACAGCGAATGCTGCTTGATTTCTTGTGCGGCTACCCCAAAACCTGGAGCCTGCACAGATTCAAAGAATGATTATCAATATTGAGATGATCCAGTCTTGCAGCGAGTAGGTGACTAGTTTGTTACTAGCACTCGTTGGCGGGATATACTCCCGTTGTTCCTCAAGTACCAACCTGGGTATGGCTCAAACTGGACCCTTGCTGAGCTGGGCTGTGTATCGAAACTTATCAAAACTATTCAAAACTTATCAAATGTATTCAAACGTGTGGTTGTCCGATTGTTGAGGCCCGTCCAGTCCCAGGAACATATCCATGGATATCCATGGTTTGGCAGGCAGACAAGCCTGATTTACCGACGGTGGCAGAGGCCAAAGCTATGTCGGGAGCCACGGAAAAATGCGAAGATTCAGCTGATGTCGCTGTTGGATCAGTCAGCATTCCCACACGGTGTCGGCTATGTTCGAGGAAAGAGTCTTTATGTATCTTTATGTATTTTTATGAATTGATCAATGTGGCCCACAGGTTAGCCCGAAAATCATTTCCAATCTAGTCCTCTCCGATGAAGATGTTCGCTACCGTTTGGTCCATTTGCGTTCAACTGCTGCACGCCCAAGTAGTTGGCCCTGCCATATCCTACCCGAGTTGCAGCCGTTGCAGCCCCAGGAAAGTGGCCGAACTGAAGCAAGCGTTGCAAACCGCTGGCTTGCCGGTCACTGGAAAGAAGGCCCCGTCATTGTGGAGAACCGCCGGTCACAGAAAATGCGGGAATGATCCCCAAAGCACGTGCTACGCCCTACAGGTACTTCACTACATACGCTTTCATACGTTTCTTTTAGGGTTTGTTTAGGGTTAATGATTAGTTTTTTTAAACAGTGAGTAGTGGATTACAGAATGTTAGAGATGCTAGATACCCCCGTGGCCCAAATATGTGTGAGGGCACCATCCACGTGACAGAAACTTTCAGATCCGAGTCTTATGTGTCAAAAGCTTTTGCACTCTATGGACAAACAGTGGCGTTTTTTTTCCTCCAGTGGAGAACAGCCTGGAGTTTGCTGGCTGTCCGCACAAGTGTTGAAATTAAACATCAAGCATAGTATACTTATATATTACATAAATATTATATGTATATATATATACATGTACATATATATATATATACATACATAGGAGGATACGGTATGGCATGGTATGTAGTTGCATGTGATGTATGATATACAATAGACATATCCGCAGCGGTTGCTTACAATTTTGCATTAGTGTTACCCCCACGTATTCAGAACGGATTATATATACACAAACCCTGATTTATCATGATGTATCCCCGTGTCGAATATCAAGTCATTCAGAGGCTGAGTTGCTGGAACGGCTGCTGGCTGCTATTGAGGGCTGAGCCTCCTCCAGAGATGCACAGCTTACACAACTTGCACCGAGTTTCATCGAGATCCATTAGAAGGGGAAAGCAAAAAGATATTATGCCACATGATTGTGACAATGCCATTTGGATCATTTGGAGCTAGATTATCTCAATCAAACAACTCTATCACAAAGGATCATTGCTGAATCCTTGAGAAACCCTAGAAACATCCCAAACATCCTGAAATCACATTGGGGGTTCATGATCAGAACTTGGCCAGGGAACCATGAAACTTTGGAATCTTGGATCGGACATCATCAAAGCTCCCAATGCTATGTACATCACGAGTCTCTTCGTTGGTCTCGTTGTTCTGGTATTTCAAGCGGGACTCTCTGAACCTTCCCTACACATTCAAACCTATAAAATGCAGGGGGCCTGCGCATATCCTTCCATTTTGCGTTTTTCAGGTCTCACCGCTTAGATTTGTCCCAGATTTATATACCAGAAATATCCAACAATTGTGTTCGAAATCCTTTGGGTTTTTGATAATTCTTCAAAACAAATCCGAAATTTGTCTGGAAACGATTTCTTTCTGGATTCATTACCTGTCAAAAATCAAGAAATATTATATCGGATATAGAAAAAATCAACCCAAACCTTTATAAAAACATATAAAAACAACCCATTCTACTAAATATTTTATTCCCAAACATAATATTTATTTTTGTTTATTCAATAATATTACATTTATTTATATATATATATATATTAAATTTATATAAATATATATTATTTTAAATATAAATTATTTTAAAAAAAATATATATATATATATACCCTGACCTTCCAACCACAAGGTTTAACTTTGTGGTTAGTCTAACCCCATGTCTTTACTTAACCCCATCATTTTACTGCCTATTACTACTGCCTTCCAAAGAGCAGAGGCAGAATCTTTGACTGCATCAAGAATGCAGAATAAACAATACCGGCCTTTAAGGAGTTCCAAAAAGTTCCCTTCCCTTCAGCTTGCCATTACTGAATCCTAAAGATAGTATCCATGAAGCACATGCTCCATAAAAAAGGTAGGGCGCAAAGTGTCACACCAGATCTTCGATTTTGTAAAAACTTTAGTCAAACCATTATTTGAGTCTTGCCCCCCAATTTTTTGATGGTGTTCACGGGTTTTTCACGGTCGTTTTACGCACTTTTCACGTTATTTTCACGCACTTTTCACGCTTCAAAATGGACAAAACAAATCGTTTAGAAAAAGAATGCTTCAGATTTTGCCATTTGCAAATGGATCTGACCTCTGGGCAGATTCGCGTTTTTCCTCTTATACCGCCTTTCCACCCACTCTTCATAGCAATACTTCTGCCCAAACTGCTTTGGGACTGAGCCAACACGGTTAGTCCATGTTAGTCCACTCTCTGGATGTGAAACAGTTTGTGGCTAGATAGAACTGATTTTCTGCAGTTATCTAAAGACAAGGTTTAATGTTGTGGTTAGTAACCCCATAATTAAACATTAAGGAGGAAGGTCAGGGATATATATAAATATATATAAATATATATATAAATATATATATATATAACTATATATAACTATATATAAATATATATAACTATATATAAATATATATAAATATATATATATAAATATATATAAATATATATAAATATATATAAATATATATAAATATATATATATATAAACCCTGAGAGTCTAAGCCTATACTTTGTTTATCCTTTAGAAAAGACCGAACTTTATCGTGAAAAGTTATTCTTTTCCCGTGTGGTCCTTGGGCACAGGCCGGCCTATTCGCACCCATGCACATTTCAACATTGACCCCTGAAAATATTTCACTTATTATTGAGATGAAGATCGAGTTTCAACATTTCCAACCCTCCCAAACTCAACCATACTACAGTTCACAATGCCTCATACACCCGGGAAATTGAGCGCTGTCAAGTCGTTACATGATTGCTAATATTGCTATACATTGCTGCTATGAATGCTCATTCAGTACTGGCCAAAGAAAAAACATGAGCCGCGCTCAGCACCCACAATGATGGAACATGCGGCATTCAATTGGAAAGCAGATTCACAACGCGTGGCAATTACCCTGTTCGAAGAACTGAGTGGTTGAGTGAACTTGAGCTAAAGACTAATTATCACGCGCAGTTTCACAATTCTCCTAGATGAATGACATGCCTTTTTGTGTTTTGATGGTTTGATCACTTTTGCTGGTTCCGGTTCAGCACTTAATTTTCATGGACCTTTGTCTTGACTGTGTCTTTCTGATGTTAAAAAAAAACATACCATTTCCGGCCATTTTGAGGCCGTCATGCACTTTTGATGTTATCCCATGTTTTACAAAACTGTCCATACTCGATTCATGTAAGAGATTTTAAGAGCAACGTTTTTTACACCATACCATTCCAGTCGTAGATGTGCATCAGGCGTTTATGATGTCTTGCTGCAAATTACACCTTAGTAAGTAACCCTCAAGAGAAACACCGCCCAGTCTTTCACAAATCTACGTCCACTGGTCAAAGTTCATCAAACACCTGATGGGCAAAAGGGGTACACGTATCTTTTTATTAAATTGGAAAGTATGGTTTTAGCACCATTTGTCCTTCAAACCTGTGCTTGAGAGCCGTTGAAACGCTGCTAATTTGTGATTTACAGCTATTTAGGACAATCACTTACTTCTGGGGTCGATCAAGTCAACCATTCAAGCGTTCCAAGCCCATATACCTTTCCGCTTGTAAGGGTCGTTTGGTAGAGGCATGTTCTTGAGAAAATACCTAACAAGACCGAGAGATTTACATTTTATGTGTTCCAATTGGCGAAGTCAATCACTTGTTCATAATGTATCAAAGTTACAAAAGGAAACAAAATCCTTCGGGGATTCGGAATACTTCAATGTGGAGATCGTCAGGCCAATACATTGGAAAAAGTTCCCTTCAAATCCATAAAAAGGTTTAAAATATTTTATAAGGTCAAAAAAACGTGTTCTGTATCTGACAACTTGTACGGCGTTGGTAGGTAAGTATTCTCGAGTATGGGTCCATACCACCCATTATTACTATCTAATGTATGATATCAATAAGTCGGCTACTGTGACTCTGGATGATGCAGGCACATGCAAAAAACATGTTTTGAAACGGGTCGGACAAAAGCAAGTTGATCTGCACAGATTGGGGACCGTGACGGGACCGTGGCAAAACCGTGGAAAAGCTATTCTTTGGCGTGGAAAAGCTAAACTTTACCGTGGAAAAACCAAACTTTGCCGTGGTCCCAAACCTGCACAAAATCACCAACGTGTTGATACTTTTTTCCTACTTGCGCGCACGTTCTCGAACTTTGAGGTTTAAGGTGAAATAACATCAATCACTGCTTTTGCTATTGCTGCATTGGAAGGTAAGTGGATGCTGCTGGGTTCCATTGGTACTTGTAGAGGGAAATGTTCACTCATTTGACTTGGCAAGTGTAAGCAATCGTGCCACAGAGAGTTTTATTGGTTGAGAACCAAAGCTAACAAGAAGTAATAGAGATCGCTCGTGGGAACACAGTTTGCCCCTGATGATATAAGAGTTAGGAAACTGGATTGGGCCACATCTGCGAAAACGGCTTCAGCGTACACCGTTGTTTTTTAAATGAGGGCTGGTGACTAGTGAAATTCACAATTCAAGCTAGTGTGGTGACCGCAAATCAACCCTACATCAACCCTAATGATCCTAATTAATGGTTTGACACATGTAGTTCCTGGTACAGGTTCAATTGCCTTCCGTGTGTACCAGTCCAAGAAAGGGATATAACCTGAAATTGCTCGAGTATTCAGAGGACTTTTTGTATTTCTACTGCTCGCACGTTGCAAACGTTTTGCGTTTTTTTTTCCATTCAGCTTGTAATAACAAAATCACGGGTGTCTCTTCTCAAGAAATTGCCGCTTTTGTCTCAACCAGCCAGGTCCTAGAACAAATCTTTTAGAAAAACAAAAATGGTCAGGAACAAACCTACGTCCACTGGTCAAAAATTCATGAAACACCTGAGGGGCAAAAGGGGTACGCGTGGTTTTTTTTTATCAAATTTGAAAGCGCAGGTTTTAACCATTTATCCTTTAAACCTGTGCTTGAGAGCCCTTGAAACGCTGCTAATTTGTGATTTACAACTATTTAGGACAATTACTTACTTCTGGGGTCGATTAAGTCAACCATTGCGCTCAGAAAAAATAAAGAAATAAAGCGTTCCAAGCCCGTATACCTTCCCGCTTGTAAGGGTCGTTTGGTAGAGGCATGTTCTTGAGAAAATAGCTATCAAAAAAAACACAATTTCATTATATTTCTTCCGATTAGCACGAGGAGTGGTGTTTGGTTCAAATAAACTGAAGAAGAAAAGTGTTTGAGTGGAATAGTGTAGGCGTCAAAGGCATTGATGCAAGTAGCCTATCTCGACGTGAAATTGAAAGTTGGTTTAAATCTGGAGAGTTCCAGCCATGCTTTAGCACAAGTTTGCCAAACATACCGGTTGAAATCGTTGCTTTTCATTGAAGAATGCCATGCCTAATCCCTTGATGTGAAGATGTCTGACACTTGTCGATGAGAGCTTAAGATGATAGTCGTAGATGAGTGCGCTAAGAAAACATCTAGATAAGATAACAACTGATAAGATGATATCATGT